CACTGCTGCGATAGACGAGAAATAATAATATATTCAGGATTCTCACCGCGCCTTCTATTTTACTAAAAAATAATTGCAAAATTAAGCACTGGCTAATGAAAAATTTTAATTCTGAATACAAATACCTCTTGAAGTCGACCTCTGTTATCTTGCCCTGTAAAGAACATTTCGTTAAAATGGAACAAAATTTTTTCTGCTATGGCAAATATTTTTTCATTCCTCTGTTACAACTTGATCGATGGGTCAGAAAAAATAGAGAGTATGAATTGAATAAATATTTTGCATTGGAAAATCAACCATTGCAATGTCTGACAAATGAAAATACCTCCCATTGGCAATAATGCGAATGAACATTTTATTATGTAACTTGCACTCCACTCTTTGAATTAATTAAGCAAATCCAGGTCGGCAGGCTGGAATGAAAAAGTCATATTCCACACAATTAATTGAGTGTGAAGGTCCGTAATGCAAATGGAAAGCTGCACTTGCGAAATAATAATAATTCATATCAATTAAAGAGCGCGCGCGCGTGCAGGCTAATTTGCAATCAATGTCTAAGTGCATTAGCGTCGACGCGTGGAAATTTAATTAATGCAGATGGGCGCGTGCTGCATTATTAATTAGGCGTGTTCGCACGTGAGCGGCGTTGTTTTTGACTGCCAACTACACGTCAGCCCAATTAGCACTCGTTTTGTTGTTTTCACAACATGTACGGCTGATGGACGTGTGGGAAAATAACTGTATAAACACTCATTTTCAGCTGTAACGTCAAGTTTTCGCCAAATGAAATTGCCTTTTCAGGGTGCTTTGTTTGCTCTTCAGCGAGAGGAATTAGGGGGGAAATGGCAGCGATGCTTTCGGTCAATACAAGGGAAAATGGGAATAATATATTGTGGAGTTTGTTCGCGTTTTATTCAATTTTTTGTGTGGAAAAAGCCTTGAAATAGTTTAAATATTTTGCGTTGTCAGTCATATTCATCAAATACATGCTTTCTTCAGGCTGTGAAAATGTGAATTATTTAGAAGTTCGTTTGCGCGCCGTATCCAATTTTACAGAAAAGAAGCCTTATATTAATTTCAATTGGCTTGAATTCCTTAATCGTTAAATGTGTACAGTTCTTCTAAATTTGAAATGAAAATTGAAAAGAAATATGAAATAAATTTCTAAAATCAAATTTTTTCGCTCTTAAAATTGATGCATTTAATCACGAATTTAATTATGTATTTGGCGATTTCAAAAAAATTTTTAGATGAATTTTATAACTGCAATTTTTGTGTTTATTTACAAAATTCCAGATTAAAATTCATCCCTGGTAAAAAAAAAAAAAAATGGTGAGGAGCATCCAAAGCTAGTTTTTCAAGATCGAATTTAAAGTAACAAAGCTGTAATACGATATCACTCTTTAATTAAATATTTTAAAATGACATTAAATATATTTTTCTAAATTAATATCAATTAACATGAGATATGATTTCGCAGAATCTTATAAAAAGAGGCTTTTGTTAAGATCTTTATTTACAATTCTAGTCATAAGAATTTAAAAATTAATCAATACACAATTCAAGTAGCTTCCAAGTAAGGGAAAGTTCAGACTTTAATCTTAATAAAATTTTTCATAAAATTAAATGTTTAAAAATGTATCAGACTGCATTATTTAAAAACAAATCCTCGTATTTAGTACTTAAATTTTGATAATCAATAAAGGCTTACTGTGGCGGATGAATTATTTCATAATATCTAAATTTTTTGCAAAACTCTTGCTGGTGATGGTGCCTTTTCTCAAGGAACTTCCCAATTAATTTGTCAATAATTTTTCAAAATTATGTAATTCAAAATTTTTAGCGAGTGGACAAATAAACAAAAAATGAAAACAAATTTTCTATTTTCCTTGACAATTAAAATTTTAAAGCGATTTCATTACAGCAAACTGATATAGAGAGCAAGGTGTCAAAACTGATAGGGTCTTTGAGTGTCACGTCGTCGCTGACAAGCGCAATTATAAACCTACAGGCCGCGAACAAACAGGGAGAAGCCTTGCGGCCGCGATTGACAGGGCTCGCACACGTGTGTGCTTTGAGAAGGTAACCAAATGGAAAGTGAGACAAGCTATATGTATATATTATGTACATTATGGGGAAGTTCAGCGGAAAGAAATTGTTTGCGAGCCAGTTGGTGGTGTCGCAGAGGCAGACAAGCCAAAGCAACTCGGGTGAAAACACACACGCGAGAGTGAGAGAGAAGACGAGGTGCTGCGCAAGGGTTAATAGTTAGCACGTCATGTGGCTCGCTGCCCCTGCTCGGCTATGCAACCGGTGAGGGCGAACGCACACTCGCTAAACGCAGGCAGAGCTGTAAAGGGAAACCTATTTGGGCGGAAAAATTTGCAGAAAATTTCAAAATTTAAAGTTTTGAGGTTTGCATTAAAAATTAAAAAAAAAAAATTGAATGAAATTGAACCCTTTAATTTTTAGGCTCAAATTATATTTGCAAAAAGTTGAGTTTTTGTAACGAAAAAATAATAAATTATTTTTCAAATTCAACAGTCGTAAATACGTATGAACCCTATTAAATAATAATTTATTTTAATTTACTTCTCACAATAGGAAATTTTTTTCCTTCAAAAATTATTTTAGAATTTTTTATTTTTAATTGGAATTTTCATTTTTCGTTGTATCTGAAAGTGTGTTAAAAATTTAAGTTACAAAGTGAGTGAAAAAGGGTCTCAAAAAATATGAAGTAGTCTCAAAATTGTCCAAAATACCAAATAAAAACATTTTCTTCTATAATTTTCCCATAATATCGTTTTTAGTTCTACATAATTTGAATTATAATGCACAATTTGCGAAGATCCCTTGTCATAATAAATTTTTAACCTAATTACAAGAAGATAAAAAAGTCATTTTTGTAGCTAGTTTTTATTTTTTATTTGAATAAATTAATTATTAAGATCAATTTGATTTTAGAATTTTGCCTTTGAGGGGTTTTCTTGTACAAAATCAATAAATTGATTATATTTAAAATATGTATAAAATGGTACTCTCAGGATTAAATGTTTGACAATTATATTAATTTAAAAACCAAAAACCGTACCCAACTTTTCCTCGAAATGATTTTCGGGTTTGCTGAGGCTACTTCAAAAGGGCCGCTGTCGCCCCCGTGGCGACGCAAGGCAATCAAAGCGGAAAATTGTAAATCAGCAGAGCCACGAGACGGAGGTAGAAATGCAAACACGCGGAAAAACGGCGCTGCGGGCTGGCAAAAAGCGTGGGCGAATTACGAAATTTTCGCAGTCGGGTGTGCTGCGAATTTGAGCCACGTTTTTATTAATCAGCTCGAGCCACTGCCGCTGGTTTTATTTCCTCAAACGCACGAGTCGAGCCTCAACCATTGTCTGCAAAAGGCGCGCGTTTATCATATTTTAATTAAAACTGCCGGCCGCTCATTCATTTCCAGCCTCAATTGTTTCTCCACACACGCACGGACCGTGCAAAAGAGCGCTTTATTTGCGTTCATCTTTTCCTCGTGAGGTTTTGTATGTTTTTCGGATAACGAGAGAAAGAGTGCCGGCCAAAGTGAAATTTTTTGTAGGGCAACTGGAAAAACACATTTAATTCCAAATTCAAAAGCTATAGGGAAAGATAATTAAAAGTAAATATAGGAGATAAATTGAGATAAATGAATTCCAATTTTCATTTTATAATTTAAAAAGAAAAAACAGTTAAATTCAGCTATGTATAATGACTGAATTATAAAATTTTAAAGGATATTAATATTTATATTTTTCTATTCTTATGAATTTTTTACCAGTTTTATTTCATCTAATTAATTAATTTATAAACTTATAATATTTTTTATGTTTAAGTCTCATTTCAAGTAGAACGGAGATTATTTTTAAAGTGTTTATATCAAAATAATTTTATTTTCATAAACTCTCCATGAGATGTATAGTGCATATTAAACACATTTTGAAAAAAATGATGTAAAAGTTTACTGAATTGATCTAGCTGCTTTTATGAATTTAATTATAAATTTAAATTAGAAGAATAAGAGTTAAAAGTTATGATATTGTTTTGATAGAAATTTCATTAATCCTGGGGTGTTTGGATTAAAAATTTAGATATCTTGGCTAATTATATTTTACAGGTTCTAAAGACTATCGTTTTGATTATATTATCTTTTGGAAATAATGAGCCACTCTTTATGAAACTTAAAAGGCTGCCTGGCTCAGGGGCAACACGCCCTATAAACTTGTACGCCCTAACTATTGAAACCGCACGCCTCTGGCCGCGATTCTTAAGCTTGGAGATGCGATTTCGCAAGTCTTTGCAGCACATCATCTACTATATCGAGGCGAAATTGAAGCAAAGAGCGCCCCAGGTTGCTAATCACTTTCCAGACGTTACTCAGGCGCTGCCTTGGAATAAGCAGCTTAAGTTATAGCTCGGCAGTTTTCGGAGTAAAAGAGAGTGTGGAGGAGGCTCCTTTAATTCCCTTTTTGAGGTTAATCTTGCTCGCCTCTTAAATTCAATTTTCCCAAAAATTTCCATAGAGTTTGATTTCAACCAAATATTGAAAACAATCATTTTAATTAATAATTTTTTCCCATAAAGTTAAAGTTTTTTATGTTTCAAAATATTTATTTAGTTTATCAAAAACGTCAGACGGTAAACTTCATCTGTCCCTTAAAAAATATTATTAGTTTCTTTAATTTTAAAATGACTTCTATTAACTAATTTTATAGACTATGCTAATTGAAGAATGTTGGGGACACTTTTATTCGTTTAATAAAGAAAGTCTCACAATATTCTAGGAATGAAATGAAAAAAATTTCCGGATAAAGACGTAAAACAGCCGTATTAATAATTTTAAAAAAGTCATTATTGTGTGTAAAAGCCCAAAAAATGCGGTATTTACTATCATTTTTCAATTCAGGAATGATCTTATAAATGAAATTTATTATATTTCACGGTCTTATAATTTTATTTGCAATTTTTTGCAGACTGCCGATGAGTACAAGGCTGAGTACGACGTTCGACGAGGCCGCGAGTACTCGCGGTTCCACGGGTACACATACGACGGCATCTGGACGGTGGCCCTGGCCATCCAGCACGTGGCCAGGGCCATTCATCACTTCCGACCCAACCAGACCGTGTCCGACTTCCAGTACAGAGACACTTTGTGGGAGACGCTTTTCCTCGAGGCCCTTCGCAACATGAGCTTTGAGGGAGTCACGGTAAGAGCTCATTAAAAGCCACTTAACGGCTCAAATTACAGTAATAATTTGAGGGCGTATAATTTCTGAAGTTATACTGAACATGATTAGATAAAAGTGTCTAAAAGTATCGAAATTCAAATAATATTTTAGTTATTTTTAAGGTTAAATTTTTCCAACTTAAGCAAACCAAAATTAAATGTAGTAAATTCACTTGAAATTTAATGCCAAGTTTATAGAAAAATTAATTTAATTTCAAATTTCTGATATTTTACATGCGTTTATATATGAAACAATAACCGTGAGAAATTTTTAATCCTTGATACAATGTGATGAAACGCAGACATGAATCGTAATTTGAGTCAACCGCATATATAGCAACGCTAGCGAATACAGCAATCGCTAATTTTGCTTATTTTGCTAACTTAGCAACCTTAGCGAATTTAGCAATCGCTAATTTTGCTAGCTTAGCAACCTTAGCGAATTTAGCAATCGCTAATTTTGCTAATTTTGCTAACTTAGCAACCTTAGCGAATTTAGCAATCGCTAATTTTGCTAACTTAGCAACCTTAGCGAATTTAGCAATCGCTAATTTTGCTTATTTTGCTAACTTAGCAACCTTAGCGAATTTAGCAATCGCTAATTTTGCTTATTTTGCTAACTTAGCAACCTTAGCGAATTTAGCAATCGCTAATTTTGCTTATTTTGCTAACTTAGCAACCTTAGCGAATTTAGCAATCGCTAATTTTGCTTATTTTGCTAACTTAGCAACCTTAGCGAATACAGCAATCGCTAATTTTGCTTATTTTGCTAACTTAGCAACCTTAGCGAATTTAGCAATCGCTAATTTTGCTAATTTTGCTAACTTAGCAACCTTAGCGAATACAGCAATCGCTAATTTTGCTTATTTTGCTAACTTAGCAACCTTAGCGAATTTAGCAATCGCTAATTTTGCTAGCTTAGCAACCTTAGCGAATTTAGCAATCGCTAATTTTGCTAATTTTGCTAACTTAGCAACCTTAGCGAATTTAGCAATCGCTAATTTTGCTAACTTAGCAACCTTAGCGAATTTAGCAATCGCTAATTTTGCTTATTTTGCTAACTTAGCAACCTTAGCGAATTTAGCAATCGCTAATTTTGCTTATTTTGCTAACTTAGCAACCTTAGCGAATTTAGCAATCGCTAATTTTGCTTATTTTGCTAACTTAGCAACCTTAGCGAATTTAGCAATCGCTAATTTTGCTTATTTTGCTAACTTAGCAACCTTAGCGAATTTAGCAATCGCTAATTTTGCTTATTTTGCTAACCTAGCAACCTTAGCGAATTTAGCGAATTTAGCAATCGCTAATTTTGCTTATTTTGCTAACTTAGCAACCTTAGCGAATTTAGCAATCGCTAAATTAATTAATGCTCATTTTAGTCGAACGTGAATTCTTTTAATCAAATGGTTTTGTAAGAAAATTTTATTATAAAATCCAAATTTTATAAGATGATGGCATAAAATTAATTTTACTAATATTATTTTATGGAATTTTGAATATTTGGACGATGATAGCAATAAAAATATTTATCATTATTCGTTAAATCTTGTATAAGTTAACAGGACATTTTATAATTTGTTTGTATAATTTTTATTTCAGGGGCCTGTGAGATTTTACAACAATGAGAGAAAAGCAAGCATACTACTGAAGCAGTTTCAAGGTAAGCATTTTATTTAAATTCGCACTGCAAACATCGCTTCTCAAATTTAATTATTTCGAGCGGTCAGAAACCCTGACCGTCGGTGAAATTAAAGTACGCATCGACGCGACTCGAATTGAAAATTAGCGCATGTAAATGAGCGGGCGCCTCTCGCGTGCTGCCGGTCGGTCCGTTTGTAATATTTGCCGAAATTAAAAGCACCCTTGTGGGACGTGGGTCTCTCTCCATCGCCTTTTGTTTGTAGCCCAGCGTATAAATTATGCGTGCAAAGTGGATTATATTACGCATTTAACGCAATTTCTCGTCGCAGTAGTTGTTGCGAAGGAATTACCCGCCGGCGAGGGATTACCATTGCAAAACTTTCGCTTCTCTCGCCAAACTGCAGCACGTCTTTTGCTAAACTCTCCAGACCAATAAATTTGCTCCGGGATGAGAAGAGAAGAACATTGACAGCTTTTTTTCCCTCTAACTTTTCTAAAAAATCTCACTGTGGAGAGATGAAAGTTCTTGTATTTGTTTTGAAATTTAAAGGAGATAAAATTAAGTTTTCATAAAGCAGAGCTATCGTGATTTCATGCAAAAAATTTGAAATCAATTTAATTCTTTATCAATACTAAATGCAATAAAGCACATTTAAAAAGAAAACAATAAAATATTATAAAACGTAATTATAATTTTTTTTTTAAAGAAAACTGTAATTATGTTTTATAATATACTTAATTTAAATACATCAAATTTTTACAATTAAATTTTTTTTTAATAATATTCATTGAGACACTTCCCATAGCATTGATTAATCTTGAATACACTAATTTTAACCAATTTTTTACATTGCTTTTTTCGGGAGTTTTCTAAAATCTGCCTTTGCAAAATTAAAGAAATTGAATTAAAATATAACTTAAGATCGATTTATTTTTCTTTTTTTTTAACCACAAAAAATCAAAATAATAACAATTTAAAATGAATGATAAAAATCCGTTATTGTTGGATAATTTTGGATTCTCCTTTTCCTCTAAATTTCATTTTTCATTTTCTGCAGATGGTGAAGAGGTGAAAATAGGAGAGTTCAACGCAGTGGCCGACCAGCTGGATCTGAGTCGGGGCGAACCCATCAAATGGCACGGCCGAGGCCCTCCTAGGGACAGAACGGTGACCCTGATCGAGCACACGCGAATCGACCTGAAGCTCTACTCCCTGTTGGCGTCCATTTCCGCCTTCGGGATCATCATGGCCGTCATTTTCCTCGTCATCAACATCACCTACCGCAATCAGAGGTACACTTTCCACTCGGCTAAAGCAAAACGCCCCAGTGCCGCCGGTTTTCTAGAAATAATTATTTGCATTTTACAACTGGCGGAACTTGTACGACGCCGTTTTATAAGTGGTGTAAAACTTTTAGAGCGTGTTTATGAGCTAACGAGTGCCATGTAGAGTGGTGCTCTACATCATACGTGAATATTATATAAGCCACGGAATTATTTGCATCAAAGTTAATGCTGGTTGCATGCAAAATAAGGCTCGATACTATGCAAGAGTTGAATTAATTCATGGAGAAATGGAACGGGGAATTAAAAATACATTTATCACTTTTATAGATGCTTATATATTCATTTTAAACATTTTCTGCATTCTAGGCCTGTTGAAATATTTTTTTTAAAATAGTAATTTTTTTAATTCAAAGAATTGACCTAATCCTAAATGCAGGTAAATAAATTGAAAATAAGTCAATTCTTTTTACTGAATAATCGAATTCTCTACATTATCATTTTTCAGGAGCTAATTATTTCAAATTACTTTTAACTTCAATAAAAATTATTAATTTTTTTGCTTTTACATAAATTGACATAGTTTTTTTTTAACAATTTTATGGATATATTATTAAAATAATTCAGAAGATTGAGCTTTATTAAAATTCATCAACATTTTAGCTTTCTATTATTTTTTGTAATTTCTAAATATTTGCTGTTGCGTTTTTCCAGGTACATCAAAATGTCCAGTCCGTACCTGAACAATCTGATCATCATCGGCTGCGTGCTGACCTACATGAGCGTCATCTTCCTAGGGCTGGACAGCCAGCTGACCTCGGTCACCAGCTTCCCGTACATCTGCACAGCGAGGGCGTGGCTGCTGATGTCAGGATTCTCCCTGGCTTTTGGCTCCATGTTCTCCAAAACGTGGCGCGTCCACTCCATATTCACAGACCTCAAACTAAACAAAAAGGTGAGAGAAAATAATTTTGTAGCTGAAATTCACGATCGAGGATTGATTCTTGGTGATTTAAATTTTCCCCGCTCTTCCTCTATGGATTTGTGTGTTTTTTATTGTTTAAGAGAGTTTTTTCTTAAAACAAATCACAAAAACCCATCAAGGAAAAGCCAACTCTAAATTCGAATCAACAGAAAATAATTCATTTAAAAAAAAGTCTGAATTTTTTTGTGCTGCGGCGAAAAAGGAAATAAGCATGTTTTGACAAATGTCTGGATTTTAATTTGAATGTTAAGTGACTCTACGAGAGCCTTTTCTGCCTAAATGCGAGGCAGAATTGTTTGCCGGGTTTGAGGCGAGTGCGCACTTGGCAAACAATTCTTGGGTGGTTTGCAGAAATAATGTCCTCTACAGACAGGCCTATGACTCGGTCTTTAAAGATTTACAGAGACTGCCGTGGATTTTAGAATTTTCTTTGCAAAGGAAGAAAGCACACAACATCCTTCAATTGCGCTCGTAAAGAAGAGGGCAGTGTTAAAAAAATTGTTGTTTATCCTGCAGAAATTTATCTAATTTTCCAATTTCAGAGCTATTTTTGTTCCAGATCGAATTTTTATCATTGAGAAGCTTCACAATTTTTAAATTTTATCCAGGAAAACAATATTAAAAATTATTATTTTGATTTGTTTTTGAATTTTTTTAAAATTTAGATTACAAAAATCCAATTATTTTAATTTATTTACTTTTCCAATTTCTGTAAAAAAATATTGTTTTCATTGAGAATCTCAACCATTTAAAAAAATTTATCGTCAAACAACATTTCTTAAGTTCCATTCGATCTCATATATTTAATTTTTTAATTTTCAATGTAATTAATTTCACTTAATTTTACTGCCTAATTTGTGAAATATCAAAATAATTGAAAATTTAGATTTTATAAAAAAATACGGGGATGTCTCATAAGCTTATTTAGTAATTAAATATTCCCCATTATTTTCATTTCGATGGCTGATAAAATAGTATTTTGTTTCTTGCACTGCCCCAGACTGGAGGCTACTTTGTAAGCTTTCAGAACGGTCTGCCGCGTTTTTTTATTCCCTCTACTCCCTTTTATCATATTTGCATACACCGTAATATGTATGTGCATGTGTGCCACTGGAGGAGAGCGCGAGGGTTACGAGAAAAAATATACACCGCCCGCAGTGCTGGCTGTTGCAAATAAAAATTTCATTTTCTCTCTCTCGTGACATTTCCAGGTGAACACATGCGCCTTTTCTGTGCAAAAATTTCCTTCATCTCGTATGTGTGTGTGTCTTGCAAAAATACACATGCAGCTCAAAAGTGGAGAGAGAGAGATGAAGCAGATAAGAGCGAAAGCAAAAAGTAATCTTTGCTCTCGCTCTTTCCCGTCCTGCTCCGCGTTTTGTCAGCAAACTTCTGAGCTCGTCGGCGAAAATATCAAATAACTTTTGCGGCAAAAACTACCGCGCTGTCAGCCGGCGACTTCTTTTCTGTGGAAAAAGCAGGCGTTGTCAATAATGGAAATTGTCACGGCGAAGAGTTTATTTCTGCTGACGTAATTCACGGGCTATTCTTAGGTTCAACTCTACGGAAAGAAAAAATTTAGAATAGCTTTTGATTTTTATTGATTGAACCCCGCAATGATAACAGCAAAATGAGATGAGAATATTGAGGAAGTATTGTTAAAAAATAAGATAAATTTATACAATACCTTATTTTTGACAAAAAATCAATATAAATTATAATAATTGAAATTCAGCTAAAAATTTGCTAATTTTGCTAATCAATCGCTAATTTTGCTTATTTTGCTAGCTTAGCAACCTTAGCAAATTTAGCAACGCTAATTTTGCTTATTTTGCTAACTTAGCAACCTTAGCAAATTTAGCAACGCTAATTTTGCTTAATTTGCTAGCTTAGCAAATTTAGCAACGCTAATTTTGCTTAATTTGCTAGCTTAGCAAATTTAGCAACGCTAATTTTGCTTAATTTGCTAGCTTAGCAAATTTAGCAACGCTAATTTTGCTTATTTTGCTAGCTTAGCAACCTTAGCAAATTTAGCAACGCTAATTTTGCTTAATTTGCTAGCTTAGCAAATTTAGCAACGCTAATTTTGCTTAATTTGCTAGCTTAGCAAATTTAGCAACGCTAATTTTGCTTATTTTGCTAGCTTAGCAACCTTAGCAAATTTAGCAATCCAATTTAATTAATTTATTTTCAATTTATTTATTCTCTCGCAACGAGTCATACAGAAATGGAAAAGTCACATTATTGGGAGAGAATAGGCAGCCAGCTCTAGTTAACAACATATATTCTAAAACTAATAATTTTTGGAGATAAAAAATTTAAATGAATAAAAAAATATTTGAAATTTTATTTTTAAATAAGCTATAAATTTGTAATAAATAATATTTGGTTTTTAAATTTTATAAATTAATATTATTACATTGCAAACAAGTTACTAAAAAAAAAGACATTCGTCTAGAAACCTTTACAGAGAATTTTTCCGTCTTATCAGAGAGATCTCTTGCGTAAAGGTATTATAGTTAAAATCTGACAGATTTTCCATGTTTTTGACAAAAAAAAACAATATAATATAAATTAAAATAATTTAAATTCAGCGGATTAAAAAAAAAACCAAAAAAATGTACCGAAATTGAAAAAAAAAACATTATTTGCACCCATTAAGTTTTCTTTTATTACAAAAAATAATTGAGAATTCTTTTTTTTTTACTTTCCAGTCAATTTTTAAAATTTAATTTAAATACAAAAGATTTGTGCTTATGTGAAAAAGGAAGACGGGATGCATTTTACTCCCTTTTGTTAAATAAAATTGCGGTTGACGCGTATTTTGTGAATAAATCCGCCTGCAGCAATAAGCAGGAAAATTATCGCCGACGAAATCGTCCGCGTGCCGCCGAAATCCAGATGCAAATTATCCACACAGCAAAATCGAGGCAAGCGAGAGCAAACAACACAAACGCACGCGTGTGGAAAATAAAGCCTGTGTAGAGGAGAGGGTCAGTCAGTCTCTGGCTTTTTATTGAAAACGGTGCGGCGGCTGCGAATTTGAATAGCTTTTTTCTGCATAAAAGATTATTTCCATTAATTTTTCTGGGGAGAATTTTTCGGACAAAAATGCTCCCCCAGCCGCTCATTAAGTGTGTCCATTCATTGTGATAATATTATATTGCCGGCAGCGTCTGTGCATTTGCATAAAAAATTCAGACGAGGGTCAGACTTTTTTCCTCCTAGGGGGATTCCCTGCTTTTCTATGTGGAAAAAATCATGCAAGCGCGGCCGGTCCGGCTGCTGAATTTTTGAATCTTTTGCTTCGCAGGTGATAAAAGACTACCAGCTGTTCATGGTGGTCGGCATTCTGCTGATGATCGACGTGGCCATCATGACCACCTGGCAGGTCACCGACCCTTTCTACAGGGAGACAAAGCAGATGGAGTCCTACGTAAGGAGCAAAACAACAATTGCTCAAAATTTTACGTCGCTTTTGTGTGTTTTTATTATTTATTTTGGCTCAATAATGTGCGCGCACGTTTGGCACGGGAGCATTTCATCTTTATAGCTCCGAGTATAAAGTTAACAGATATTTATAAAAAAATTCTCGTTTCTTTTTTTTTCAAAATATTTTGCAGCTAATCTATAATTAGTTTAGTAACAAAAATAATTTTAATTTAAACATATTGAAAGTTAAAACAATTATAATAAATATAAAATAAACATTAAATTTATTATATAAATTAATTTTTTTTTTATGTTGTTATTTAATGCGTTTTTAATTATTTTGTCCGCATTTAATTAGTTTTGCCATGTGTTATTTTCTATCATAGTCCAGTCCATTTAAAAAGGTTTGGTTGTACATCTGGGAAAAATGTTTTTTTAAATTAATATGCTAGATGAACATGGTAATCTTCAGAAGAGTGCAAAAGTAATTTATATAAAAGTGGATTACTGACCGCTAATTTTGTTAAAAATTTAAAGTAATATATAGTAATTAATATAAACATATTTGTACGATTATATCTTTTTTATCATATCGGCTTAAAAATGGAGTGATTTAATTAATGATATTGAACGTAAAAACTCGCAAGTCAAACCAAATTAATAATATTTAAACTTCGGTCAGTGTTCTATTCAATGTACTGTACATCGTTTTCTTATAAAAATTCTAACATTCTAAAAAAATTGATCTTTTACCCAAATTTTATTGTTGATTTTTTTGTAATCACTTATCACTTCAATTAAATTTATGCAAATTTTTATAATCTATTGAATTTCATACCAACTTGGCCTATAACCTTTAATTTTTTTCTCTACACAGCCTCATCCGACGAGTCCCGACACGGTGATCATTCCAGAAAACGAGTATTGCCAGAGTAACAAGATGAACTACTTCATCGGTGCCATCTACGCGTACAAGGGACTCCTTTTGGTGAGTTTTTGTTGCTAACGAGCACGTCAGAAGTAACAAAAGAACACACACACCTTTGAAGATGCATCCGCTTTTTAATTATAAACAACATTATTTTCTTAATATTAAAAAAAAAAGAAAAAAAAAATAACAAGATGCTGTTCTGGCGCAGATCTTTGGCGCTTTCCTGGCGTGGGAAACGCGGCACGTGAGCATTCCGGCGCTCAACGACAGCAAGTACGTGGGCATGTCCGTGTACAACGTGGTGATCATGTGCGTGATGGGGGCCGCGATCTCGTTCGTGCTGAGCGACCAGAAGGACGCCTCCTTCATCATCATCTCTGTCTTCATCATCTTCTGCACCACCGGCACCCTGTGCCTTGTGTTCGTGCCAAAGGTATGACAATTAATTTTATGAAAAGAGATGCGCAAAGGGATGCTGGAGTAATTAAAACAGTGGTCCAGCTGAGCACTTTTTGTCTGCGCTGCTGATTTTTTTCGTGCGAGGAAAATTTAAGACGCAAAAAAGAAATGCAAAGAGAAAAATAATAATAATGAAATATTAATATCATAAGTTTTAAGTAATTTTAATAATTATTTTAAACAACTGATTTGATTTATAATTATGATGTTTTAAGGAGAGCGAAATAAGATATGGATAAATTTGCTAGCAACCTTTTGCTTATTTTGCTAGCTTAGCAACCTTAGCGAATTTAGCAATCGCTAATTTTGCTAACTTAGCAACCTTAGCGAATTTAGCAATTGCTAATTTTGCTAACTTAGCAACCTTAGCGAATTTAGCAATCGCTAATTTTTCTAGCTTAGCAACCTTAGCGAATTTAGCAATCGCTAATTTTTCTAGCTTAGCAACCTTAGCGAATTTAGCAATCGCTAATTTTGCTTATTTTGCTAGCTTAGCAACCTTAGCGAATGTAGCAATCGCTAATTTTGCTTATTTTGCTAGCTTAGCAACCTTAGCGAATTTAGCAATCGCTAATTTTGCTAACTTAGCAACCTTAGCGAATTTAGCAATCGCTAATTTTGCTAATTTTGCTAGCTTAGCAACCTTAGCGAATTTAGCAATCGCTAATTTTGCTAATTTTGCTAGCTTAGCAACCTTAGCGAATTTAGCAATCGCTAATTTTGCTAACTTAGCAACTTTAGCGAATTAGCAACCTTAGCGAATTTAGCAATCGCTAATTTTGCTAATTTTGCGAACTTAGCAACCTTAGCGAATTTAGCAATCGCTAAATTTTGAGTAGGGAATTAATCTCGTTTCCAATTTCAGTTAATTGAACTGAGGCGAAACCCTCAAGGGTCGATGGAGAAGAGGCTGAGAGGCACTCTGAAGCCGATGGCCAAGGGTGCGCGGCGCGACTCGACCACATCCGAGATGGAGGAGAAACTCAAGGACGCCACAACTCTGAATCAGCGCTTCAGAAAAACACTCAGGGAAAGAGACACCGAACTTCAGGTACACAAACCAAAATAAAAATAGAAAAAAAAAATGGAAAAAAGAAATAATAATTATTTGAGCTGAGAATTTGATTTATCTTTTTATTTATTTTCTACTCGTTTTTTGCTTTTGAATTTAAAAGAAGTTTTAAGTAGAATGAAATTTTATAAATTCTCAATTGAAATAGTCACAATTTTAAAATCCTGTCCAAATATTTGAAATAGTCAATTAATGTGTTTTTTCTTACAATAGAAGATAATATGATTTCTCACATTTTTTATTCTTTTTTATATATTTTTTGTCACCTCTTTTGAATGTATTTATACTAAATGAACATGAATTAAAGGGCCTGATTCAACGATTGGGTCCTGACGCGGACAACCTACCAGGGGAGCCGCCTTCGAGACTGACTGTGCCCAAAGATTCTGCTCTCAGGAGAGAGGGTATGCAACCTTCCTCTGTTCCCAGTCAGCATGCTGAATGACTTTGAAACAAATCGAAATTATATCTCTATGTGGGCAATAAATTTTCAACCATTTTATTTGATTTCCTTTAATTTCCCCCACTACTTTTTATTTTCGTCCATTGAAATGTCACTCCAATTTTGAATGTTTTCTGTCCGCTCACTTAGCAAAAGCTTTCGCAGTTGCGAAACTAGCACGCTCTTTGTATAGGTGCGCACACTACTATTTACGTGTGTATTTTGCTTGTGGCCTTCTGTGAAACACCGCTCGCCCCAGCAATGTGTTTGAGCACAAAGAGAGCGTCATTTGAAAGTGCCTTTGATCTGGAACGCGCGGCTCTTTTGCTGACAAACGCACGAACGCTGCCCTTTTCATTTGCACACACGCAGCTTTTTTATTTCAGGATGAACAGAGAGGAAAAATGTGGCAACTCTCTTTCATAAACCTTTAATGAAAATGAAACTGGTATGTTAATTATGAAATGAATCCTGCACGCGTTCGATTGCATGAAAGTGTAAAAAGACGGAAAGATTATGTATTTATGTTCGATATTATTCTTTGTTTATGGAGAAACTTTTGAGTAGAACAAAAATGTTTTGTTTTCGATTGCTCTTAATTAGCGCCCTCTGCCACTGAAACCACTGACATCAGCTCATTATGTTCATTGGCTTCCTCTCAAGAAGTCGGCATCGACCCTGCCAACCAATCGGACACTCCTGGACAAAGGTGAGATTTTGAAGATATTTAGCGCAAATATAATATTTAATAATCCTTCAAAATGTGCACATATCATGTAATTTATACTATTTTCAAACATAGAAAATATATTAAATACATGATATTATGATTTTTTAAGATTCTAATTTTTAATAAAAATCATTACTTAAAAAATCTATTAAAAATCACTAAAATTTATTAAACTGTACTACAAGCAAATTATATGCAATAATTTTAGTATAAATTTAATCTTTTATTTTTGATATTAAACTGATTAAATCTTTTAAATTTAAAATTAATTATTTCATAATTTATCAACTACTTTTTAAAAGAGAGTTTTAGTTCACAGGAAAATATAATATAAATTCATATCAAGTTTAAATTACATAATAAATATTATAAAATATTTAGATTAGATTAGAATTCTTGAGAATATTTTGTTTCATATGATAATTAGAGTTCTGGAAACTAGTCCAATAAATTGTTAAAAATTAAAAAAAAAATGATATTTCCAAGTTATGATAATTTGTTTATAATTAGAGTATTTTGAATTGAAAATTTTACCATCTTAAAAATATAGCGTTTTTATTTGAATGAATTAACAGTTTTGCAAAAATTCTTTATAGAACAATAGATTCTGCAAAAAATCTAATACTAAAAACAATTTCAGAAAACGGGCGAGCTTCAATAAGTTGCCGACAATTTCGGCGTCAAAAGAGACTGTGGCGATGATGACGCCGTGCGAGCCGATCGCAGCCGTTATGGTGTCGGCGGTGACGGCGTCAATGACGTTGGAGTCGACGCCCGAAGAGCGGCACATGTCGGACAAGAGTTGCGGCGCCGGCGACTCGGGCGAGTCGGACGACGACCGGACGGTGCCTGAGATGGACGAGTCGGACCAGGAGGTGCCGCTACCGTGCATCAAGAAGGGCGTCTCCTTCAGCGACGTCACGGCCGAGTCGCCGCCGCCCCCGCGGAGGCCACCCACCCCCAAGCACACCACCCCCAAGCACAAAACGCCGCAGCCACCGACGCCGCCGCCCTCGCTGCGGCGCCGCGCCTCGTCCGGCGCCCGGACGCCCACGCACCAGAGCCGCAGGCCGTCGGCGCCGGCCGTCGCGACCAAGGAGCACCCCCACCCCCACCACCACCACCACCATCATCATCACCACCACCACGCGCACCATCCGCAGGGACACTACCACGACGTGTCCAGGAGCGAGGAAGTACTTTTGGGTAATTCAAATGCAAAAATTGTTAAATATTTTTTTTGTGAACGTTTTTATTTAAATTGATTCTCTAACAGATTCTCTTCCTTCAAAAAAATATTTTTTTTTTAATTAAATTCATTAATTTAGAAAATAAAGGAACAATGGTCAGGATTTATTTTGAATTTTAATTTCAAATGTTGGGATTCTAGTTCTTAAAATGAATTCATGAAGTCTCTTTGTACAGTTTAGCTTTTTTAAAACATATATTCAATATTTAAATTTACATATTAAATAAAACTTCATATAAGTTCTTAATTTTTTACAAATGTGTATTGATTGTGTTTTAATTATAAATTTTGATTTTTTTAATTAAAATTTGATATTTCTTTCTTTATCATTTTCTGGTAACTAAAGGAGTAAAATTTAAATGTCATTATCAAAAGATTTTTATTTCTTATTATAAATAATCAATCCATGTTTGATCTTTCATATAGGAATATTAAAAAAAATATTTAGCCATTACGTGTGTTGCTTGTTTACTTTAAATAGTTTTTATGATTTCAAAGTTACTGATATAATCCAATTCAATGACTATAAATACCTTATTCTAAACAGAGGAAATCATGATTTGGAAGTCCATCAAAATAATTGCCAACTTTCACATGTTTCAAGGATCTTGCTTTCAGTTAATGTCAGAGAAATGTGTTCGTTTCTAGATGACCGCAATAATTTTTTTTTTTAATTTCAAATAAAATGTTTCTTATAATATATAAAATATAATAAATTTACATTTTTTTTCCATTCCAAGATTTATTTGAAATTTATCAATAACAAAACTAAGTAAGAATCTCCAAATTACTGTTGCAAAAGTTTTTTTAGTTAAAAATAAATCTCAACAAATTCTTTCTTATGAAGTCACTGTTTGTTATTATTTGAGAGTAAATTCATATTTTTAGTGTAAAATTTGATTTATATGGATTTTTAATAAAACAATTTTTAATTTTAATTGAAAACAGTTTTAAAATATAAATAATTTTACTAAAATATAAAAATAATTTTTGTGTAGCTCTGTGAATTGATACAAACTGCAAATTTTCAGATGAGCCTGAAAGTCCGCACAGCTCCTCGCCAATGCAGCGCTCCGTGTCGGAGAGGTCACGCGGGGGCTCGTCGTCCTCTCTGCGAGGGGCCAACGGCGTGGAGCACCCCGCGTCGGCGGCCGCGGCGGTGGCCAGCACGACGGGCCGCGGCCGCAAACCGGCCGCCTACAGTCTCGTGCAGAGTTCGCCGAACGTGAGCATGGACGGCGCGGCCACGTTGGGCCGCGTGCCCAACAAGAAGCAGCACATCAACAACAACATGTCGGCGGCCGACCTCGCCGACAACCTCGCCATCCTGCCCATCTTCCAGAAACTGCTGAGCGAACGGCACCGCACCCGCGGCGGCTACTCGATCGCCTCCTGCCCCAACATTTCCATCAAGTGCGACATCGTCGAGTACCTCTAGATAATCAAATTTTCGATCGAATTCTCGGACTCCTGATTGTTGTTGTTCGTTGTTGTCTCCGGGAGCGGCAGAATTTTTTGCAAAAAAACAAACAATTTCCGAAAAAAATAATGATAACGTTGGATGAATTTGCCTCGAACGTCGTTTCGGTTAAAATTTTGTAATTTGAGATAAAAAAATTTGTATTTATGAAATGAGCAAGGCCTAATTTTTTTCAAAATCAATTTCACGTGCGTTCCGAAAGCAAAACAATTTAACAATTTAAACTCGGCCTGCTTTTGGAAACGCGCAAGATTTGACTTGATGATTTTTTAATTTTATTTTAGTGCTTTTGGTGACTTTCAATGGATTAAAAATACCCTATTTCCCCCCCGAAAGTGTTGAACGTTCAAAGTGTCCAACGCAAGAAGGTGATCGAAACAATTTTGGAAGACGAAAAACTGGTGCAAAAGTTGTAAATTTATATAGAAATCATTATGGTGTTCACACAGCGTTAAAAACTTTTTGGAAAAATGTTTAAATTAAAAAATCATGTTGATGTTTTTCATTTTCTTTCAAGAAGATATATAAAAAAATCAGGTGTCACTTCTTCAGTTTATCAGCTCAATAACTGCGCGCGGCGGCGAAGCATCCGTTTGCTCAAGTGGACAAAAATTTACTAATTAAAGTATTTACGAAAAAGCGTTTGTCTCCTCCGATGTCTCAATCAAAACGACGAACGTATCTATGCGTCTTAAAAATCTGAACAAAACAAACCGAGTGCTGACTGTGTGGTGATTCTATTCAACACAAAAACACTAGGACGAAAAATAACTGAAATAAAATGAATGAAAAAAAGTGCGCGCCGAGGAGAGCCTCACATTCTGGCCAAATGGAAAAAAAATCGATAATGAGCCCATCGAGTTTTTAAGAAGTTGCAAATTGTCAATTTTATACAAAGGTGTTTTAAAATAAGTGTGGAAAATTATTATTTATACTTCTCAATTTATTTTATTTTTTGATTTGTTAATGAAAATATTGTACAAGGAAAGTAGAATTGCAGACATATCAGTGAATGCAGTTTGGTTCTTTGGAAGAATTAGAAAAATTCCTGTTAAAGAATCTAACTGCATTCGGAATTTTAAATTTCACAATATTTTGTTGATTTCTTAAAATCAGGCTTGTCGCTAGTTCCTAAAAATCTCGCATGATTCTCAATTTCTCGTGTTGTATTCACATCTAATGAACATTTAATTCAAATGGTGCAAGACGTCAATTACAAATTAACATAGTGTTAAATATATTCTAAACGCAATTTGCACTAAACATCCGAAACTTTGGCCAGCGTGTGTTGGCACAAAAGGGGCGCTTAATCGATCATTGTAACTGTGTTGTTATGGGCCTATGCCGTAATTAAATGATAAAAAACAATTATTAAAATTATATAAATTGGTTGAAAAGAGAATGCATGATTTGAGTGGCCTATGTTTCGATTAATTGGTCAGTGTTTAGCAGATTCTCTAATAAATGTTTATTACGAAATCTCAAATCTCATTTCTATAACAAGTCTCTGTGAAGAAATTCAGATAAAAAAATCAATTAATCCACATAATTCAATGGGAGTTATGTTTTCTTATTAGAACGGATGTGAGAAATGGCGAGATGAAAGAGTGACTTGATTGAGGAGATTAATCGTTAATTGGCTGTTTCGTTTCTATATAACTGTAGTGCGGCGATCTCCAATCCTGATTGTGTGTGTCTGAATGCAAGTGTGGCAAGAGACATTTTATTAATAAAATCGAAAAGTGCAATGCAAAGTTTCATGACTCTTATTAAAATTATTCATGCGAATACCATAAACAAAATCGAGTGCAAATCTTACTTATTTTGCTAATTTAGCAACCTTAGCAAATTTAGCAATCGCTAAGTTTGCTAATTTCGCTAATTTAGCAACCTTAGCAAATTTAGCAATCGCTAATTTAGCTAATTTTGCTAATTTAGCAACCTTAGCAAATTTAGCAATCGCTAAGTTTGCTAATTTTGCTAATTTAGCAACCTTAGCAAATTTAGCAATCGCTAATTTTGCTAATTTAGCAACCTTAGCAAATTTAGCAATCGCTAATTTTGCTAATTTAGCAACCTTAGCAAATTTAGCAATCGCTAATTTTGCTAATTTAGCAACCTTAGCAAAATTAGCAATCGCTAAGTTTGCTAATTTAGCAACCTTAGCAAAATTAGCAATCGCTAAGTTTGCTAATTTCGCTAATTTAGCAACCTTAGCAAATTTAGCAATCGCTAATTTTGCTAGCTTAGCAACCTTAGCAAATTTAGCAATAATTTGAGATTTATTTTTTTTTTAACTGTCAAAATTTTCTCTATTTGGATGGTTTGCTTTTTATGAGGTCAAGAAAACTTGAAAAAGGCCACAGATACCGTAAAAATCGCTGTTAAAGCGTTACTGGAGCATATTGCCATGTGAGAAAAAAGCTATTTCTTTTTAGGAATATAATAATTGTTTGTTTATTAATTATTTTAATTGGATTTATCAAATTAGATTATATGTTAATAATTTTTAAGTTCAAAATTTATTTCAGGCTGTCTGAACATTTTCATAAATTCTGAATGAATAAATCAAAAAGTAAAATAAAAAATTAGAAAAGTATACTTAATATACAATACAAAATTGTTTTCAACTCCTCTGGAAATTTTATCTTCTATAAAGTTAAAAAATAAATGTTTTCCCGTTTTTATTTACTTATTATTTTATATTAAAAAATTTTCAGTTGTCATTTTTGAACGAAATTATTGTATTTTTAGAATATTTTTCATATTCTTTACCAAGATATTGAATAATTTTCTAATGTCGAGGAAGGAAATTTTGAACCACACTGCCAGGTATTTTTCCTCCATCATTATTTCTATTTTGTTTATTATTACAGTTCATTTTTATTGTAGTGGCACTTCAAAGGGTCGTGTTACAGTCTGCAATAAGCTTATTTTCGAGACGAATTTTTTTTCAATTTAAACATTCATCATGTGTATATGCATGTCAGAGGCTATTTATTTCCAGGGTCGGCAAATTAACGAAACTATAAATTTCAAATCGATCCGTCGCGCGCCGTTCAAAGAAAGGGATTTTTATTTTATTGCTGTTCTGGTGAATATTTCAATAACGAGGATATGCCGTGCCGGCAAACAAACCCATATGGCCATTACCCGCTGGTCGGCCGGAGCCACTTTTTCAAGTGGCCCCTTTGAATAAAAAATAATTTCTTTTTCATCGATCGCGGGCCGAATTTGAGCTGCCCCGCAGCGCGGGCGGCACAGACTCTCTTTCTCATATGCTTAATTTTTAAGTGCTTCCTGGAAAGGTCGATTTTGAGGAAGTGCGCCGGAGGAAATTTCTATTACTAAAAAGCGAACGATCCCACACACGTTCACAAAACTGAATTGGGCTCAAAAATAGGCAACCGGCTGCAATCACGTGCTCGGCGGGATGTCTTCTCACAATTTCCACAGGCGTCAAACCAACACAATACACGATAAAAGTTCCTTTATAATAATTAATTTTAAATAACAATATTACATTTATAACTTTTAATTTCCTTTCAAAATAATTTGTATTTGTTACAAGATAAATATCACTAAGATTTTCAATTCCCATCAATTTCAGGTAAATATAAATAATTACAAAATTAACTTTGCTCCTGTATTTAAATCCAAAGTATATTACAATTATTGACTTAAATTCCTTTTCCACAATTTAATTTTATTACAAACTCATATCAGGAATTATTGAAACTGCTGGAAAATTCTGCAAATTTTAAAATGCAATGAATTTATTTCTCCATAATTATTACAAGCAAATTGAAAGTGTTAATTTTTAATTTTTTGCCTATAATAATAATAATAATAATGTAGCAGAATTTTTACAAAATTTTATATTATTGCTGCTTGTTTGTAACATAGTTACACAAATTATGTAATGAAAATAAAATAATCAATTGTTTGGGGAAGAAAAATTGAATTGCTGAACAAAACGGCGATTTCCGAAATGTGCCTACGTGAAGGAGAAATACGTAAGATGGATTAAAGAAATTAGCAAGCAATTTTGATTGTTTGGCAGCTACCGCGCCCAAATGGAGTGATGACCTCCGGACTCTTAAAGGTCGTCTAGATGGAAGAGGGGTCGAGACGAAATGATGGAGTTGTTAACAACAAACATCAAGAGTGGCAAGACGGAAAAGCAACTTCATGGGAATTTCTTCACCACAGCTCGGACGCAAAATTATAAAAATGTAAGTATTTTATTAAAATAATATTAAATAACTTTAACAAATGAAAAGGGAGGACAGATTTTAACCTAAAATTTTTAAAGTTAATTAATATTGATTTAACGACTTATTGAAATTTCAATTGTGTTGACCGAATATAAAAAAAATAGCTTCTTTTCCGTCGAAAATTGACAATCCAGGCAAAAGCAACTTCCGTCCTCTTCAGTTATCGACAAAGACTGTAAATAAAAAGCTGAGAGCATTTCAATTCCACCCCAGGAGTATAAAATTTTGGCTCCGGGGGGTGGATTCCACCCTGCTTCTCATAGTTGCTCCGCACTTTATTGGCGAATAAAGGCCAAAGTCCATTAAACGGAGCCTCTTAATTACGACACTGGCGTCGTTAAATATTTTTATATCCGCCACAAAAATGGATTGCTCGGAGAGACACTCAAGCCGACCGGCAAACACAGGCCAAATTAATCCGTCGCTCGTCTCTGCTTTTGCAAAAATAAAACAAATATATCGAATCAAATTGGAAAATTAACGATTTGGTCGAAACATGAATTTGGCCAGTAGCAGATTTTGATGGCCGGTTTTGGCAAAAATAAATACAAGGCTTTGTGCATTTATGAGCCGGTTCGGCACTTTAGTATCGGCCGCTAAAAGGGCCGCTTGCAATTAACGCTTGATTAAAACTTTACGCCTTTTTTATATTGTCCGGCACTTTAAGCCGTAATAATTGAGGGCGGGTCTATTTTCGCTCCAGCCGTCGACTGCCCACACAGGTCTGCCTTCTTTTGTGTCTGCGAAGACGGATGTCAAAGAAAAAGAAAATCTGATTAGATTATGTTTTTCTTCTACGGATGTCTTCAAATTTGTCCAAAAGAGGCTTAACTTGTGCCTTTTATTAGAGCTTCAAATTATAAGATGTGAAAAGTTCTTGGCGTCAAAATCTCACAAGGAGAATGAATTTATGAAAACATGATCTTGTGTAAATATTGTATGTATTTAATATTTATTTTCTCTATAATTTCTTGACGAGAGTAATGAAAAGAAGCATAATAAATTATGTGAATCTTTAATCCATTTTATATTTAAATACCTGAAATAACTGATCGAACGTCTTTTTTTCAATTACAAATTACAAAAGGAAGAGAAAAGTTACTTTTAATCTTGAAATGGGGCAGAGAGTTAAACCTGCATTATTAAATTATAATTTTACACCACATAAATGTAGAATATATGCATTTGAAGAAATTGCTTAATTTTAAAAGCTTGGACTGTAAAATTTGTAAATAATTTTATTGCCTTTACTTATTATAATCAATTAGAAAAATTAAAAAAAAAATCAGCAATGTTTTATTTTTTTAATGTTTCAAGTAATATCTTAAACATATAATTTTTTTTTCTCAGGTAATTGTTAGTGTGCGTGTGTTTTTTCTGTTCAAATTAGTGTAGAGTAGTGTTTTATTTGTGTTGTAAAGTGTAAACCAGTTTCAGGAGGTGCAGTCGAAACATTCAGGTCTGCTGATGAGCCCTGGAATTGGGCGAAATCGCGATCCAGACCAGTTATGTTGCTCTGTTTACCCTAATTTTCCGAGTTTTAATTGAAATTTTGATTTTTTGTAACTCAAAAAAATTACTTTTTGAGACATTTTTAAAAATTAATTTCTCAATTAAAAGTCAAAATTTTGGTTTGTATATTCCATTCTTTAAAGCCAAGTGTTTCTCGCACAGTTTCAGTTAATCCACGGAAAAACCTCTTAAAAAATATAAATTTTTTATGACAAATAATTTAATTTTGTATAAGGTTTTCAGTAGCAAGTTTGTTAATGAAAGTCCTAATTGATTATCACAATTTTTAATTTTAATAGATATTTTTTTATTTATTTTAAATTTATTTTATTATTCTTTCATGATTATTTTATGGTCTTTTTTAATAAGCGCAATAAAAATCATTGGATTTGTTTTTTTGTTCTTAGAGAGCTGGGGTGGGTTTTAGTTCGGCATGGTGGATTGTAGTTGTCGCAGGTGTCTGGGCGTAGGAGGAAGCAGACGGAGTGAGTGATTGCTCTGAGAGGTGGCGCCAGAAAGCGCCCCTAAAAACTACCCCCGGCTGGAGCGCGCGCGGTCCCTCCCTGCCCAAACTGCAAAGTATAAAAAATGAAGCGGTGTGCGGGAGCGGCGCGCGTTACATACACACAAATACATATATATACATAGGCGACGAATGGATGTGGAAGTCGGGGAGGAAAAAAATCGTCGAGGAAAATTTATTATTGAGTTATGACCCTTCAAAATTGTAAAATGCGCCGTTCTCGCAGAAAAAAGTATAGAAGTCGAGTTTTTCCTCCTGCGCGCATAAAAATATATCAGCCCCGCGCGCTCCAAAAGAGTTTTTCTCTCTTTCTTTCTGTCTTCTCAACTTTGGTGCTTATTTCGGCCGTTCGCTTTTGCTCTTTTTCCATTTTTTTTTATTTAACTCTCCCGGGCCGATGGAAAATAATACACGTCAAACTTGGTTCTCTTCTCGCCGACCCCAGATATACACTTGGAGAGACTAGCGGGTCGAATTTCAATTTTGATTATCAGGAAAAGAGCCAAGTTTATAGATTCTCGAGAAGGGATGCAATTTATCAGAAGGAATTTTGCGAATTTGAGAGTGGAATCAGGAATTTTTTATACTGTGATTGGAAAGGTTCTCAATTTACAAGGAAGATAACATTTTTTTTATAGATTCAAATCTGTATAGTTGTAAAGTTGCTCAACAGAAGCTACCGAGTGGCATTACAAAATTTCAATCCAAACTTTACTAAAGGTTTGGAATTATCAGGCCATATCTCAGTTTTAAGAGCTTTGAACTAGAAAATTACAAAAAACCAAAAACATCCTTGCCGAATAATGGTTAAATTTGCAGAAGGAAAAAATATTAAAATGTTCCATGATTTGAATGTTTAAAACATGATAATTTGACGAAACAATTTGTTGATGGGAATATATTTTTTTGAGATAATATATTATATTCGAGAAATAAAAAGCATTTCATAAAATGAAGCTGAGCATTGATTTTGCAGGAGCTGAAAATTCTTTTTAACTAATTGGTGTCCAGTTTGAGTTAAACTGTATAAATGTGGAAAAAATTGTGAAATTTTTCTATTTAAGAGGGTAAAAAAAAAATAACTTATGAGAAGCATCTTGGTGATAAAGGTTATCATTGTAAACTTTGTAGTCGATTAAAATGCCACTTGCATGTGGCAACATTTTGTCGCTTTAATTAGCACTTGATTAGATCAATATATAGGAAACTGACATTTTAAATTTATAATTTCATTAAAGAATTTCAGAAAGCCATTTGCTGTTGGATTCAGCAGAATGTATATTACAAACCTTTGAACCACCTATAACCGTTGTTGACCTGTTTACGCAGTTCACGCTAAAATTTTCAAGTGCGTGGAAACAGTTTGTTAATAAGCGGTGTACCATAGAGTTTTAGCGAAAAAAATTATTAACGGTGGAATAATTTTTCCGCAATTTCTTCCACTATTTAAACTTCCTAAGTACCTTGGGACAAATTTAATTCATGACTTAATCTAAATTAATAAAATTTGCTCACCCGTAAAAAATGTGAGCAACATTGGAAGTTTTACTGCTGTGCTTTTCCGTATCTTCAAATTCGTGTGCTTCGACAAAAATGGTTTTAATCCAACTTCTACCAATAAGCAAGAAAACTTGTGGGAACTTTTGAAAAAATTACATTATGGCATTAAAAAATAAACAATTACTTTTATAAAAAGTTGTGATGAGTGTTGAGTATATTAAAACTATATAGGCTCGGCTCACAGAATGATTTTGAGTCAAAATTCTGAGCCATTAGTGTTTTTTTCTATTATTATTTTTGATCAGTCAACAACCGAGTCAAAAAGTAAGCTGGATTTGTATTAATTTCTTTCAGGCCTTACAATTAGATCGCCTCTTCTAATGAAATCAAATTTATTCTCTTTTTTTCCTTTTTTATGCAGAATTATTGTAATTTAGTGCAGGGAAAACTGCAAACTTGGGTTTATGATTTTTATTACTAATTTAATTCAAAAATGGTCATATTTAAATATTGATTTTAATTGGTAATTCTTAAATTAGAGAGCGATTCATTAAGCATTGAAAAAAATGACTTAAAAAATGGCCCAAAAATTTGATTTTTATAACTTTAATGTTCCTACATAAAATATCAGCACAAAAATTGGTATTCTTACTAAAAATTATGAGTATTTAAAGACAAAAAATAGAAATTCACTTTCAAAATAACTTTTATTGATACACGCCGCCAGGCATTCTCTGCCCAAATACATTTTTCAATAATACAATTTAACTAATTATTTTTTTTAAATGCTATTATTGAATTAGAGCGTTTTCACCTCACAATTATTATAATTTTTTTTTTCAAATAATGATTTTTCACTTTCTTGTGCGTTGCTACAAATTCTGGTTCATGAGGTAGAGGAAAATTTATTTTCCCTCTAATCCTCTTTGCACTCATCTCGCTTCGCGGCGTATTTATTCATTTTGCAAAGTTTTACATTTCTCTCATTCGAAGCCTATCGAAGGCCTCCAAATAATAATATCGGAAAGGGATGGAGAAGGAAAAAGGCACCCCCGTTTAAAAAGTGCACCGCAGCAGCAGCAGTTTTTTTTCTCTCTCTCTCCGGGCAAAACCCTTTTCGGCGGAGAGATCCTGCGGCGGCGAACAGAAGAAAAATTTCTCTCCCCGGCCGGCGCCACCCCCCGGCAGCCGCCCTCGCAGCGAAACTTGAAATCGAAGAATTTAAAATGAGATTGCGTATGGAGAGTGAGTGCTGTCAGAGAGTGCTGACATAAATATGAGGGCTGCTGATCGATTGGCGAAGTATCGGCCCCACGCCCTTCTCGCCTCCCTGATTCGCAAGGGCGCCGCCGACCTTCGCAGGTCCTCCGAAGGGCGCCGGGTTCGACCCTGGGGATGGAAATCACCGTCAGAGGGTGGCAATTGTTTAATGTCGCACCGTGGCTGCTAATTAATTGCATTAAGCCGGCTCGCGTCCACCGGCGGAGGGGGTCGTTCGGTGGCGGGGAGGGGTGTGGCGCTGGCGGGGAGGCCCGAGTGCACAGGCGCCTGCCGGTAGGAGGGTAGGCCACCCTCAGAGCCGTGCCGACCCTCGGCCTGAGAGACTGACTAACTCCGAGTAGAAATTAATATTTTTCAGCCGAGTGCTGCGAACGCAAGAGGAGTCCGAGAGTGTCCACGCACTGTCCACACTCATGACCGCTGCCCACAAGGTAGGAAACGGGGCCGCGTGTCCCGCGGGCCCGCGCCCTAAGGGGTGCCTCGTAGTTTGTTTTGGGCGATGTGGCATTTCGGCACCCCCTCCTGACATTTGCCCCGGTGTAATTAAGACGTCTGGAGACACCGGATTGGATTTTTCCCAATTTTTTAAATTTTATTTATGAAAAAAAAACGTAGCAATTTATTTTGATGCTGGAGGAAATTTAATTTCGATTGGAAAAATATTCAGACCTATATAGAAATAGATAAGAGATAGGATAGGAGCCATTTTAGATTAGGTTTCGACAGAATTTCAACCGCAATTTTCATCTCCCAAATTATGAAATTTTAAATCATTTAAAAAAATGTAAATTATTATTTTTCATTATTATTCTTTATCGATTCATAATTCACATCATTTTGTATAGCGCGAGTTAAATTTTAACGAAATTATTGAGCTTTCGGACGTGTTGAACCCGTCGGGAGTACATTTTAACGTACACGATTATAACGAGCTTGCATGCCACTTTTTAATTGTGACATCAACACACTGCGCTCGCTCTTTCTCTCACTTTTTTACGGCGCGATCGTATCGCAACGTACTTACATTTTATGCTGATAAACGCACAACAGGTTCAATTCGAGTGCATGACGCTCAATTGGATTATTATGCTAATTGAGTATGAGCCCCGTACTGAGCAAGCACTGCTCGGAATTATCATTTTCGTCGCGTTTTAATCCCCTGGAAACAATTTCACCGGGGGATACCGAACGAATCATAATTCAGTCATTTTTATTTATTATCATCCCGCCACCTTTAACCACGCATTCTAGTGTGAATAAAGTACTTTGAGTAATTCGAGTATTTCAAATTTTTGTATAAAGAGAACCCCCAAATGATAGATTATTTAAAAAAATCTCAGTATTAAATATTTTTTTACAATAATATTTTATATAACAAATTTCTACTCCTTCCTCCATAGACTATTTCCAATTAAAAACATTTTATCTTACAAATCTGATATGAAAACTATTAATTTTTATATTTTCCAATTTTTTTTATTAGTAATATTAGTAAAAAATATTCATAATTTCATTATCAGTAAAGCTCAAAGTTGAGTAATTTTTCACGCAATTAAGCTGAAAATCTATCAATGATTTTAAGAAAAAATTTTATATTAAAATTCATTTTTAGAGTGGATTTTAAATCTGAAAATTAAATTTTCGGCCTAGTCTCAAAATTAAAAAGAAAAAGCATTGCAATTGCTTATATTCCTTCCCCTAACCAATACGTGGAGGTTAGTTTGATTATTTCTGGTCAAATTGTAATTTAAATGTCTAAAAAAAAATCAAAGAAAATTTGCCATATGACATGATAATCAATGTTACGCATTAAAAAATTAATTTTATTTTTATTTTGGATTAAATATCTTTATTAAATGTTTTTAATCCAGTTTGAAACTGAAAGATTAAAGATCGCATTAATCCTTTTCCTATAATTAAGATGGTCAAAATATTTTTACTGGAAATTCAAGACAAGATGAACTGAAAATTGATGTGATAGAAAATTTATAATTACTGGTTAAAATAATCGATTTGGTTCAGAAATTCTCATTTTCAAAATATAAGTAATTTGAAATTAAATGAAGCTTTAATCTTTTTTTAAGTTAGTGATAGGTACTGATTTTTGGACCAAACACTTGAAATGAAAAGTCATTTTTCTTTCTCTTTTGAACACAATTCATTTGAATAAATTTATAATTGCACTGTAAAAATTTTTGTAAAAATTATATTGGTCCGGATCAAAATTAAATTCTAATCGTTCTTAATAAAATATTATTCAAACTTATTTTAAATCAAAATGACACAAATTTGTGATTTTTTTTCAGAATTCATTATAGAGTGAAATGAAAAATTTTCAAGATTTCACCACTCAAAAAAGCTTAATTTTGTAAAACAATTGACGGATTTTCAAATCAGTTGAAACCATCACAAGTCATTAAAAATTAATTTAACTGCGATTTGATCATTTGACGGTGTCGAGGTCGCCAATCGTGGAAAGTAATCCAGCCATAAATCACATCATTAATTAACTGACGCTTTTGCGAATTTGTAGCGCGTCACCGTGCAAAAAGCCGTCGAGCGCTCGCGTTAATAGAATTATGACCGCGGGTGTTTTGTGTGTTTGTGTACGGACGGGACGCGTATAATTTCGGCTCTCTTTCTCGCGGCAGCTTTCGGCTAACACCACCGGCTCAAAACACATGCACTCACATTTTATTTGTATTTGCTCTCACTGCGCGTAATCGCCTTTGATAAATTTTAATTCGCATTATTTGGCGCGTTGCTCCTCGTGTACGGCTTCTATAAACAAAGGTGGGTTTCATTTTCCTGCGAGCCGCGCTATTTCTCTCCCAGTCTGAGAGTGAGAAGAGCCGACGCAATATCAAACTCATTTCCTTGTTTCCCTAAGCGACGGCGTATTTACATTAAACGCGGAAAAGCGCACATTTTGCTTGAATAATTGTTTTAAAGACTTGTATTTCCTATACACATCAGCCATTTTCTATTGAATATTTAATTTTATTAATAATTTATAGAGAATTTTTAAAATTCTATTGCCCATCTGATGGTGAATTAATTATTATCAGCGTTTTTAAATTATGGAGACTTATCGAGATTTAGGCTTTTTAGTATTCATTTCTGATATTGTTTAAATTTAATATTTCTAAATTCAGTTTAATTATTAACTAAATTTTATTACCTTATTATATCCATCATTACGTTTGTTTGTTTTTTTTTTTTTTTAGGGTCAGGCCAAGACAAAAGTCTTGTCGGCCTGTGCCCTTTGTTGGTGGTACAGAAGGCACCACCCAATTATTTTTTTTTTATTTTTTTTTTTGGGTTCTTTTTTAAACTGTGTATTTTTATTGAAGTTCAGGAAAAAATAATTTTTTGAATAAAATAATTTCTCTTTACGCTTTAACAATGTTTTCTCTACTTTCTTCATTTTTATATTTACATGGGTTAAATGAAACCGGTGTTTGCTTTGCTTCTGATTATTTCAATCGCAATTAAGATCTGTCATTTTAATTTTTTAATATTTTGTGCTATTTTTTTTTACATGACGTTTTTTAGATTTTATAATTTTAATTTGTAATTACAAAAAATTAAAAACTTTTTAAATATCAGCCAAATTTTCAACAAAATTCAATTAATTCATAAAAAAAAAGAAACGCTGTAAACCAAACCTGATTAACTGAATGTATTAGAATTTTGTAAATTTAAATTTACAAATTTATTTTTTTGTGATTTTAATTTACAATCAACTTTTCCTCGATGGGCTTTGTGAGTTGTTTATTGTTTAAGAAAACCAATATCCTGCTCTACATATTTCGGCTGCAGCCATAATTCTTGATAATTAAAGAATCAATCTTTAAAAAAATATTTTTCTTTCAAATCAACACTTTTTCGTGAAATATCATTCAAAGTTACAATTTTATACAAAATTTGGCTAAAGGATTCCAAAAATTTTAACAAATTAATTTTTCCATTTTTCCATCGAGGAAAAGCTGACTTTAAAATCACCATCCTTAATCGTAAAATTCTATTACAAAATTCCATATTTTTGTTAGCATCGCGTCCATTGTAAATATCAAAATTTTTTTTGATCTAAATTTTATTTTTTTTTTACTTATTTTTTATTAATATATCCATACTTTGTGGCTCAAAATCTTCATCTGCAATTACTAAAACTAAATTTGAAACGAAAAGTAAACAAATTTAATTAAAAACCATTTTGAGGCTTCACCATATCATATCTTGTTACGACTAAAAATAATTTTTCTCATTTTTCATTTTTTATTTTCGTTCTTTTTCATACCTGGAATTTCCTTGAACAGATTTCTCTGAATTCCGATTATTACCTTTTCCACGAATCGTCTAATTTTACAAGAAAATGTCACATTGAGTAAACCTTGTGCGCCAAATAAAATTCCACAATCGGGGAAACGATCGATAAAATCTCTTTCCCTTCCTTTTTGTATACAATTTTTTTTTTTCGTCAGCAGTTGTGACAAAATCAAAGATGGGGTGAAAAATGCACCCCTTTGCTCCCTTTTTCACTCTCAAACTTTTTTTCCTGTAAAATCGTGTAAAATTTGTGCCGTGCGGGGCAAAAAAGAGCGATAAATTTCGTACAAATTGACACAGCTGTCTGGAGCTGGCATTGTGTGTGCTCAGAAGAGGTGCAGCCAGCGAGAGATTGAAACATCTGCGGCGCGCGCCGCCGGCTTTTTTTACGACGAAAAGACCGATTTTAAACTTAAATTCATCTCCCTCCCCTGATCAATCGTAAATATATACGAGGGGAGGCCTAATGACTGCTGCTTGGAAAAAATTTATATATATAAAATATATAGGAGCTGGACACACACACGCGCCCTATATACAAGCAGGGAGGAAAAGTATATAAAACGGAGTTTTCTTTTTAAATAATGTGTTCTTTCCAAACTCACGCACATTTATGTGACCGCGGCGATGGAAAAAACTTCTCTCTCCGAGATGAATGAATTTTTAAATAAATAATCACCGCACGCTATTGCCGTATTATGCCGGCGCTATACGTGGATTAAATGCCGCTTTTGAATCTGGAATTTACGGTCGATATTTTTTTTATTTCCACCGCATCGATCGCGGCACACGCTGCAAAGTTGAGCCGGGTGTGTTTTACATTTTTTATCGAAAAATAGTTTCACTACGACTTTTTTTATAAATCTAATCTTTATGGCCCTCGAATTATTTTTATTTCCTCCTCAAGCCCGGAGAGAAATTAATTCCGGAGAATTTTTCATTTCTTTTTTTTATGTCGGTCTGGGAAGTTTTGTAAGTTTCCTGGAGCCGTGGGAGGTCTCTCGGATCCGATGCATTATGCATTATTTCGAAAGTGTTGTGATTGGGACGTAAATTATTTGTATTTTCCGTGAAGATGTTCCCCACGATGGCTTTCTGGTTTTACACGACATCGACATGTTAATTTATTAACAATATTCGATCTTCTCTCATCGCCGATCAAGCCCATACTTGTAATATCATTTGCATTGTGAATTCCTAGAAAAATCGAAGCCGCCTTTATAAAAATATAATAAAATGAAAAAAGGAGAAATACGAGAGTCATTATCAAAATGAACGGTATTTAAATCCGAGGGAAGTGAATTTAAATAAGCCGAAATAATCCAGAATCAGAGAACAATTTAATTTATTTTCTGAACCTGAGATGAATTTTTGTGGTTAAAAAGAAATTTTTTAAATTCGTCAAAACCTCAAATCTGCTTAGAAATGTGAAAGTCGTAAATTCTATTTTGGTAAAAGCAGGGCACCGTATTTTAATGCAAAACGATCTTGATTCAGCTTGTTAAACTGTTTACCGACCGTTTTCCGCCAGTTTGATAAGCCAAATTGTCAAATTGCAGATCATAAAAGCAGGAATGAGAGAGAGAACAAGAAATTATAGTCAACACATTTTATGTAAATGAGAACTCGCTCAGTATGCATAGTACTGCTTGTGCTGAACAGAAATGATATCTAAATCAATTCATTTTTATTACAATAAGCTATGTATTGATTAGCAACGTCAGCAGCCGCGGCAACTATACATATAAATAAATAAATTTCTATGTGCACGCGTTTATAAACTGAGCCGGGGTTTTATTTGATTGTGCTATCTTTAGAAAAACACAAGAGGATTGGTTTGAAAACAGATTCCTCTCACTTGGGCTCTATTCTGCGTGTGTATTTATTGAATTGCGACCGCAATGAAATTATGTGGGTTGGGCTCGTTCAACTGAAAACGACAACAATAAATGCTCAAGAGATTATCAATGCGTATCAATGCCCACATTAAGTTATTTCTGAACCAAATCACAGCTAAAAATATCTTTTTCAATTTGGAAGGAACTATTTGTGAATTGTGAATTTTCTCGGTCTCATAAAAGCAACTAAAATAAATTTAGTTGCACAAATTAATATAATTATTCCTAGTATTGCGTTGATTTTTTAGAAAAAAATTACTGCATTTTTAAGATGTTAAACAAATGAAGTAAATAAACAAAAAAATTAATTATTATATATTGCAAAAAAATTATTATTATAGTAGTTTCACAAAAATTCACATAAACATTTTTTAATTATAATTATTTTTACTTTTTTAATTTTATAAATTTTTATTCTTAGTATTATTTTTAAAGTTAAAGTCTATTCAAATGACAATTTAAATTTTGTAGATTCACATATAATTTTTATTATTTTTTATATATTATATATTTTCTTTTCATCAATCCATGTCTTGAAATTTGATTAAATAGAAAAATCAGCTTGTTTTTGGCAGCCTTTTGGAGAGTTAAATTATTCATTATATTACAGAAAAATGAAAAAGGTAAAATACATTTTTATGAAATTTAATGAAAATGCTTCTCATATATGTTGCTTTTGGCAAGAACGATACTTAAATTTTATGCAAATCCAATGTAACCAATTTATTTTATCAATAATTTCTATTTTGTATTTTTTTTTTCAGTAGTCTTTAATAAAAATTCTTCGCCTGTTTCAGGAGGACGAACTGAATGAGCGGCGCAGAAGGCTCGCGTAAAAAAATCGCCGGCGGCCAATGGAATCGACTTTCGAGGAGTTCGCCGGGCTGGCCGAGAGCCCGCACGGGCAGGCGGCCAAAAGGCTGCTCTTCGCGGGCTCGCCGGATGGCGACGCCGTCGGCAAGAAGCGGCGCAAGCAGTCGCGACCGATCCGCATCCCCAGTCCCTCCGACCCGTCCCTCGAGGTGCAGCTGCACGTGGAGCAGTCGACGCCGCCGCCCTCGCTGGCGGCGCCGCCGCCTTCGATGCCGCCCGAACAAGTGACGCCGCCGGCGCCGCCCTATCCGTACGGCCTGCTGCCGTCCCTGCTCCAATTCTCGCCGCACTTCCTGCTGCCGATGCTGCCGACGACGCCGCCGACCCCCAGCAGCCAGTCGGCGTCGGCGACGACGCCCGGCGGCGCCTCCACCTCGACGCCGTCGCGCATCTTCAACCTCGAGGCGTACTGCGAGCTGTGCAGCAAGGAGTTCTGCAACAAGTACTTCCTCAAGACCCACAAGGCCAACCGGCACGGCATCTACGTCAAGGGCGGCGACACCCCTCCGGCGGCCAACACCCCTCTGCCGGTCGACGTCAAAATCCCCACCACCCCCGAGTCCACCGTCAAGTTCCCGTGCGACGCCTGCCCCAAGAAGTTCGGCTCCGAGTACACGCTGAAGAGGCACAAGGTCAAGACCCACGCGATGGCCGCCGAGCCGGGCGAGCGGCCCGTGGAACGGTTCGTGGAACGGCCGTTGGAACGATTTGGGGAGCGGCCGGTGGAACGGTTTGGGGAACGTTCGGTGGAGCGGTTCGTTGAACGTCCGATAGAACGCTTCGGAGAAAGATCGGCGGAATTGTTTGGAGAGCGGCCTGCAGAACGGCCCGGAAGCGCCCCTCCGACCCACCAGCAGCCGTCCGAGGCGGCCGAAACGCCGGCCACCGAGGCCTCCCCCCTCTCCCCGGGCCGGCTGCGGCGGCTCGGGGTCATCAACGCCGACGCCTTTTGCGAAATCTGCAGCAAGGAGTACTGCAACAAGTACTTCCTCAAGACCCACAAGTTGAAGCGCCACGGCATCCGAGACCCTGAGGACCCTTTGCCCAAAGGGTGGCCCCTTTTGCAGACGAGTCCGTTGAACTTGACCATCGCCTCCGAGCAACACCTGACCAACGGCAACAGCTCCTCGGAACAGCAGCCGGCCCAGGAGGAGGAGGGACTCCTCGCCTCCTACCTGCAGCCCAAGGACGAACCTGAGGAGGCCCGCGACCTGAGCGAGGACCTGCAGAAGCTGCAGACGATGCTGCTGCAGCTGAACGCGCTGAACGGGGCGGCGGCCGCCTCGGACGCCGTCTTCGCACCCCAGGCCGAGCAGAACGGCCAGGGCGTGGCGTCGTCGCCTCCGAGGGCAGAGTCGGCGCCGCTCGAGGGCGCCGAACGTAAGGAGCCGGAAGAGACCAGCGGCCTGGACATCACGGAGCCGCTCGTCGAGGTCACCATCAAGCAGGAGTCCATGGAGGAGCTGCAGACCGACCAGCCGCAGCCTGAAGACCTCGAGGGCGCCGGCAGCTCCGGACTCGGCGCCAGCTTTTCATCCACCAGCTGCTACTGCGACATTTGCAACAAGGAACTCTGCAACAAGTACTTCAAAAAGGTAGGGCTGCTTCCTTTTAATAAAAAAAAAATTAGTTAAAATTCAGTAAATGTAAAGAAATTAAAAATAATTTTTAATTGTGATCATGATTTTTAAGAGAGCATGAGTTTGGCCGATCATTATTTTGTGGTATCTTATGATAAATAAATTTTATACAGTAATTATTTAACTTTTACAAAAGTTTTAAGATCAATTTTCATAAGATATAGATAATTATAATTCTTATTATGTATTTATTATAATTATTATTATATATTTAATTTTATTCATCTTGAAATAAATCTTTTTGTGTGATTATTCTCGCTGCATTCTATTACATTCATTGTTTTACATTTTGAATAGTTTTAAATTTAATATAAAATCTTTGAATCCATCCAGAGATTTAAATAAAACATATAAATATAAATCTTTGGTCGTTTTTTGTCGAGGTAATACACAAGCATTTTTATTCTTCAAATTTTGAAAACCAATATTGTTTGAAAAAAGGGCATCACCTCAAATATGAACTTTGCTTCAAAATTTCCCGAGCTCATCCACCACAGTGCACCTATTTTATGAAATTAGCTATATATATTTTTTTTTGTAGTTTATTTGTCCACATTGTTTCAATAAAATGTTTACATTCATGGTTGTTATTCAATTCGATATTTCTTCATAAGGTCTCTGAATTAATTTAACTTACAGACAATATAAATAAAATTATTTTAAAGCCATAAATTTTTGTCACAGAACTTCAAATTTATCAAATGACATTCGTTCTGAGCAATAGTGAGAAGAAAATTTAATAACACACGTCACGCTCTGTGAGTGACGTTAGAAGCAAGTTTGTTCCCATTTTTTAAATGTATTCACTCGAGCGCTGAACTAAAATTTCTCGAACAAGCCATGCACGCTTGTTTTTTTTCCAGCATTCTAAGTAATAGGCTTTAAATAATACATCAAACAAGATTTCAAATGTGGGACGAAGCAGGGGTACTTGTTACATGTGACGGCTTTAAACTCGGCCTAATGCACACACTGTCGGAGCGTGTTGGTCGTTGCACATTTTTTTTTTTGCACTGGAAATATTGCTTGTGTTTGTTGCCATGCGCAGGGAGTGTATTGAGAGTGCATATTTTTTTTTCAAACACACACGCCTGCTTTTAAAGTCACACGATTCGTTCTCCACTCTGTTTACCGTGATGAACGAACTCAAAGCACTGTGGGGTTTCCCGTTTCTTGTTAATTGGCTTTGCGTCATCCTGTGTTGCTATTCAAATAAATAAAAAGTCGCTGCAGCGGAGCCTCTTAAAAAGGCGTGAGAGAGCAAAATACGCACCAAGAGAGCTTCGCGGCAGGAAAGCCGCTCGACTTTTTATTTTGCAATATAATTACGGCTCACTGATCTCCCTTCAAAAATTCAATGGAATTTCCACGTTTAAAGCTATTTACGTAATATTTTTCCTCTTTCCAAAAGTGGAATAAAGCTTCATTTTTATAAAAAGATATCTTTACTACCCAACATTCAGTATTTAAACGCCGGAAATATTATGAAAATAGAGCCAAAAATTTTTAAACACTCTCTTGGCAATTTTAGTTTTTTCATTTTTTCCTGGCATCGTGATTTAATTCAATCAAGATTATTTTATTTTATTCAAAATTGTTAAATATTTTATTATTTTTTAATTATTTCTCCTTGGAATGGCACTAATTTTCAGCCTGCTAAGAAAAACAAACGTAAAATATACTGTGAATTACGTGAAATTTAATCACGTTGTTAAGCAGAAATTTCTATATTTGCGTTTTTTAGTTTGAATTCAAGTACAGTCTCGCGCGCACAAGAGCAGAATTTTTGCTGTTGAGATTTTACACACGAATGCACTGAAGTTGCACAATTAAACGCACGGAAAAGTTTGACTTGTTGCGAGAGAATAAATGAATTGAAAAAGCCCGCAATATTTTAGAGTAGAGGCCCTTTTTTCAAAAATTCCATACCCAGAAATTGCCAGTAGCGTGAACAATAAATTCTTGTTGACTGCGTCTCAATTGGGAGCAAATTAATTGCCTCGGAAGCATCTAGGTCAGATTTCTACTAGCTAATAATTAATTAAAATAAAAAATAAAAACAGCTAAACAAAAATTCATATTACAATTAGATTATGGGTTTTTGCATCTTTTTTGACCCGAGATAAATTATAAATAAGTCAAAATGTGGTTTGTGAAATATTTTATTATTTTTATTGTTGTTTACTAGCCCAAATTGTGAAATTGTGTGTAGAAAACGATTTATTCGAAGAAGAAAAATGAATTTTTGTCCAAAACGGCAGTACACCGCTAGCAAGAATTTTGCTAAAACTTCCGGTATCAAAAAGACCCTTTCCGCCGCTGTTTAAAGTTTGTGTAGTTAAGGTTTAATTATTTATACATAAATTTTTTATGCTTTTGTGTTCCGTGTTAGTAAAATATCATGACATGTGAATTTGTGGAGCATTGTTTGTTGCTAATTTTTCATTTTCTAGTTGACATAAATTTTCTTTCTTAACTCGGGTATCGAAACTAAGCAACCTGTATGGTGCCTGTGTCAAGACGGTTGCATAACTTTATAAGACGTTGCAAGGCGCATAATCTCTCTCTTGGCTTCATTTAATAGTTTTACTACTTCAAAATTTTCATACACATAATTTCGTTAGAGATTAAAAAGACAAATATAAATTTATGAATTTGAACTTTTGACAGCTAATCTGGAAAATGCGTCTCTGTTGCAGGTGCACATGCAGAAGATGCACGGCATCGAGATCAAGGACAACGCGCTGAGCGGCGGCGTTCCGTGCGACATTTGCCACAAGCAACTTTGCAGCAAGTACTTTGTGCGCGTGCACAAGCAGAACACGCACGGCATCGTGGACCTGAGCGCCCCTCCGCTGCCGGGCAGCCCTCAGGTCTCGGGTCTCGGAGGAGAGGGCATCACCCCGCCCTTGGACGCGTCCCTGAAGCCGATGGATGGCGGCGACCTGAACCACCGCTACTTCGCGCACTTCAACGTCGTGTGTCCGTTGTGCAGCCGACGCTTCCGCAGCGCCAAGTGGCTTCGAGCGCACCTCGTCAACGACCACGCCGAACAGGGTCTGGAGTTGGCGCGCGAACTGGAGCCGAGACCCACTGCGCATGCGCAAACCGAACCTGCGGAGGAGCCGCGCAACCAGTACCACTGCTCCTACTGCTCCTTCTCCACGCCCGTGCTCTCGCTGCTCTTCGTCCACGAGCGCTCGCACGCCGGACTGGCCGAGATGCGCAACCGACCGTCCGCGCATGCGCACCAGCACCTTTCCCATCAGCAGCAGCTTCAGCAGGTCCAGCAAGCGCAGCCGCAGCCACCGACGCCACCGTCCGAGCCGAAACCGCGCAGCGAGCAGCAGGAGAGCGGGAGCGGCGTTTGGCGCTCCCTCCGCGAGGCGGCGCGCGAGTCGCAGGTGCCGGCGACCTACGCCGTGCCGCAGGCACCCCCTGACAAGTTCATCATGCAGCCCTTCCTGCTGGAGGAGCCGCCCGACGGTACATTTGTTCCTTCCCTCGTGTTCCTGCCGGTCCGCGAGAAGGTCAGCGGTCAGCTGACCGTGTCCTTCACGCTGACCCCCGCATAGTAGGCCCGCGGACGGCGGTCGCTCGGCGGACGCCTGTGATTCCCGCCCCAGCCGCCCCCCAACACGTGTTCCTCCGTCGGCCCGCCGCCGTCGCTGCTGAAACACGCAAAGGTTCCTCGCGCTTTTGCCTATTTGGATATGAAGAGAGAGAGAGAGAAGATAATATGTTCGGAGAAGATTGCAGACATGAAAAATTCACGTAAGAAAATTTGAGAAAGAAAGATGCTTCGCTGCCTATATTCGTGAGAGGTGGTGTGAGACCGCGCAAACACCCAGACTTAAATGTAACGCTGTGTTTTACTACTAATACGACACGGGGCCTTGGTCGACTCCATTCACGAAAAGTTCCTAGCCACGGCCTCACTACCAACCTTCACGAACCACTAATTATAACGTTAAGGTGTCCTCTCGATTATTGCTTTACAATGTCCGCGGCCCCCCCAAGTACCCTCCCGGCGGTCAGCACTGTCCTGCTATTTTTGGACGCGTCTACTATTCTATTCTCTCCTATAGCTCTCTTTCTCGCCCAGGCAGGTTGATAGATACTTACTCGACTAACTCTCGATCGTCTCTCGATATCCGAGCGACGACGAGACCATTTTACTGCTGCATTGTTATACAATACATACATACGGAGATCAATAGCCACCTGGCTTCACCCCCTGAGACATATGGAGGGGTGAAGCAGCCTATATACCGTTATAGTCTTGATTCCCGACAGCCAAGACTCTCCTTGAGAAATGGGCCTTTCTTTGAAACAGTCAAATTTAAATTAATAATAAAAAAAACGTTCTCATTTTTTAATTTTCTTAATTTTTTGACTCTGAAGTTTAAATTCAAGTTGGTTTTAGAGTTGAATGATCTTTTAAATTCTTAATCTTTGACACAGTCAAGTGGAGTTTGTAATAATTTTTTAATTTAAATTATTTAAAAAAGAATTGGAAATTTTATTATTATATTTATTTATTTAATTTTTGAACTCGAATTTTTAGATTTTAATCAGTTTGAGTTGAATGATCTTTTTAATTTTTCATTTCAAAGATTGGTCCACATTTCAAGAGAGTCGATCCACTCTGATGTAATTACATAATAGTTCCGGCCCCGGAGTAGGCCAAGCCAGAATCTTCCGCAACTGACCCATAAGTTCCTCAGGTAAATGTGAAACTGACGTAGAGCGGACAAATAATGTGTATTATTACCACGGTGTTCTCTTATTAGCAGTGCTGACACGGGGGGCCCGTTCGTTCGGCGCGCGTTCATTATTCGCGATATTATGCAGCGCGCGCGTATGTTGGCTTTGAGTTTCCAAATTGATTCGCTCGCTGATGATACGATGTGTCTGTCGCGTAGGTTAAACAGTAATATATCGCATCACGATGTCAATCAAAAGTAAATTTACACCCAGAGAAAGAAAGAAAGAAAGTCAAATCACGTGTACGGTTCAGCGCGTACGTTTGAATAAAAGAGTCTTAATTAATTAATTAAGCTGAGACGAGAAGATTATATTGAATGCATATATATATTTCAAAGTATATATTATTCAGGTACGATTAAGGGCTCAGATTCAGGGACGGGCAGGTCACCCTGCCGCTGGTGTGCATGCGAGAGAATGCCTGAGTTTTTTGTGCCGAGTATGATTGTGCTAGGATTAGTAATTATTTCTATGTGAAGAAAATCGATGTGCATATACAGCAGCCATAGCTAAATGTCGTGGCACTCGCAGACTTTATGAAAATCCATTTTTAAATTTTCAAATTAATTTCGCCTGCATTTAAAAAGTGACGAGAAAAATGATTTTTGGGTGAAAACGGAGACACTTTTGAGGTTTCAAACACGCCAACGTATTTTAAAAGAGTGGCGCGGATATTGTGATTTTTTTCTACTAGAAACGTTTTTCTGGTGGTGAAATTCGATTGAATATTTAATACTGGATTTTTTTGAGTCGTTCATTTTTATTTTTAATTCACGAAAAATTTCAAATCACGGATATCACCGCGATGTTTTCTACAAAATCCTGCTTTCGAGAACCTTACTTTTTTTTATTTCTGTAAATTTCTCTGTCACTGTCTCTCAGCTACGAAGAAAATAACATGACGGAAACCTCGCTACTATTTAATATGAAATATACATTTAAAAAAAAAACGCGAAATAAATAGAGTACAAGAAGTCACGTGCCTTAATCGACAGTAAAGAAAAAAAAGAACAACACAAACTACTACTTGATGATTTGCGTTCTCTCTCCGACGAACATAAAACTTGCCCAAATGAGATGTGAATCCCCACACCCTCCAAACACGGGCCGAGTGCACGAAAATGAGCCGATTCGCAGCTGCCTGGCGTGTGCTATCACTAAAAGCGCATGCTGCCGTGCCTCTTTTTCTCCCGGCCGTCTGCCTTCCTTCCTTTCTCTCTTTGTTACACCATTGAAACAGCTCTTTAGAACCTGTAAGGTGAAGAGCCGCTTCTTCTTCTTCTTTTTTTCCCTTCAAATCTCGCGGCTCGCCTCTAATCGATTATTTGCAGTGCCGAGAAATTTTCGGATTTTTTTTTCCGAATTTACGCGCAAAGGCCGCACCCTTCTTCTCGTGATCCAATTTCATTTTTATGTACCGGCGGCGCACGAGTGAGTTTTTATCGAACGACGGCGGCCGCGGCGGCGAGCGGCTTTTAACTTTCATTTTAAAAATTGGTTCCACGAATTCGAGGGGGAAACGTTCGAAATGAATTTTTAAACCGCGCACCACGACGAGGAAAATGAATTAATCAAAATTCCGGGAAAATTTCTTTGTGCGGTGTTTTAATATCATTTTCTTTCCGGGTCTCTCTCTCTGATTTTGGGTATGGCGATATATAATTGTGGCCGTCTAATAAAACACACTTTCTAGGAGAGAGAGTCGGCCGGTCGGGGGTGGAGAGGGGGTGAGTCGAGGAGGTAGTGGACGCGGGGGCTGCAAGTGCATCTCTCATCATCCCTCGGCCAGCTGGGCTCGCGCGGCTCTTACATTATGGAATCGATACAGACGGCTGTGGTGGTGGATTTAAGCTGCTCGCCACCCTCACGACGGCCCCGCCCGACGCCATCTTAGAGCTGGACCATCAAAGAGAAATTGATTTTTACCGCACGCGGCCATCTTCATAATTCATACCTCGATTGGCGCGCGCTCGCCTCCATGCCCGCCCGCTCTTGCTCTCTCGCAGACGAGAAAATAAATAAAATTTCCGTTTCGGGGCAGCTGTTGTTTTGCGCCGAAAATCCGATTTATATATACGAATGTCACCTTTATTCCGTTTTTCACCCCAAAAAGGGGTCGCGCGCGTCTTTCATCCACAAAAGGGTTGCGCAAATAACAAACAACCCGCAGCTGCCGCGAAATTTTATTATTTTTTTTCTCCACATTTCGAATAACGCGCGATCTAATATTCTTGGGAACGAAAATAAAGGAGGGTGCGTCCATCCGCCGGCCGACTGCTGGTCACTCATCGACGGCGTATTAAGGTCAATCGATTGGGGGTGGGTGTGCGGGGGTGAGTGAGTCACAGACCAACCGCACCCCCTTTGTTTTTCTCTTTAATTTTTCATCGTCGTCGGGAGGAAATCGCCGCGCACTGGAATAGTAATTTTTGCCTTTGTACAATTCCTTATTTTCTCTAATAGCATTTTCGAGAGCTGATGAGGCCGGCGTTGCCACACACCCCTAGGTGTGGGTGGGTCAGACACGCCATTATTGATTTCCACCCCCGCCCGCCCAGTGTCCAAGGCCACCTCTCGCGCCGGATGCACCCCCAGATGTGCGTCCCTTATCAAAATTTTCACTCTCCACACTGCTTATCGCTAATTAGCGCTTTTTAATAACGCGGCGTCTCTCTGCCGGCGCGAAAACCACCCCCGCCCACCCTCCCACACGACCGGCGCTATCTCACTCGCGCTCGCTCTCTCTCTTTCTCTCTCTCGCTCTCTCGCGGTATTTATATTTTACGAGGGTGCGATAACGGGGTAGTAGTTGTTGATTCACCTGCCGCGGCGCACGCGCCCGCCACCCCCTCTGACGCAAACACCGCCGCCGCCTCAAGAAAGTAGAGTGACCACCACTGATAAAAATTTATTTTTTTCCTCTCTCGCTCTCTCCTACCCTCCCTCCCTTCGTCGGCCGGAGATCCATACGCGGGCGAAAAAGTACTCCTGGCGAAAAGAAGAAAAACTATAGAAGCCTCGGTCCGGCAGGCCGGCTGCCCGCTTATCATTTATATATTTTTTGTTTCCACCCCCCTCGTGAGCGCGTGAACACACTGGGGTTGATTTTCTATGCACACTTTGGTATAGTCCGACAAATAAACTAATCTCGCGGAAGATGTGCATAAATTTGGTAACAGTCGTTTGATGCATTATGTGCACTTTTTCACGGCAAAAAGTTGAAACACAATAGGGGTCCGTCGCGCTTTATTGTGCACCTCCCTCCCCCTGGCCGAGAGGAGTGCGTGTGACGCGCGCGACAAACAGACAGATGGTTTCACAAAATCTGGAAAAAATAAATCGCAGCTTTGTGCCGATAAAAATGAACTCGCCGCGCTCGTTGTCGTCCGATCGAAAACTCCTCCTTTGTTAAAATCCGAAGGCGCAGCCGGATTTATTTTTATACATTTCATTCCGCTCAACACAGACCATGCGGGCTGTTTTTTTTTTTACTCAAAAGGGTTGTTTCGGGGTGAAAAAAAACTCAGCTACCGGAGGTGTCGGTTACGTCAAATTATGTGTGACGGCCAACATGCAAAGCTGGTGCAAATTTTATGTTACCTGTTGAGCGCTGCCGCGCCACCCTGCCAGCCAACCCTGCACCACACGGCCGCCAAATCAACCCCCTCGAGCCCTCTTCGCCTACCATTAATATCACACCTTTATAGCAGAGACGAGCCAACATTCATTATTCCACCCGAAAACTCCCATTTTACTCGAATTCAAATTTTTGCATTTATTAATCAGTCTGTTGCTTTTTGCGCGCTTTTGTTTTAAGCCCAGAGGTGGCTTTCTATATACGATTTTTTTATTATTATTTGTCGGTCGGGTACAAACCGAATTATATATTTTTCCCTGTCCTCCTGCCTGCTGCCGGGTATTATATTTATTTGGCGTTATTTTTGTTTGTCGGCGGGCGCGGAGAGGGCAAAAATTTAATTAAAAGAGCTGCACGGTGCGGCTGTGTGGCAGCATCAAAAAATCAATAAAATTGCTATTGAGGCGGCAGCATGCTTTTTTATGTGCAGTCCTACTATTTTTTATTGTGCGGCCATCGTTAATTTTTTCCTCGAGCTGCGCGCCCGCCGGAGAAAAGCAGAGAGAAAATGAAAAATATGAAGTTGGCTGCGGCCGTGTGGGGCTCGCGCGCGCTCCTGCTCGCTCTCTCTGTTGTATTGTTAGCGCGTGCTCTCTATCTCTTATTGATTTTTCATCTATAGATTTGTGCGTTAGCCCAACTTCGCCGAACATACATCACCCACGAACGCCGCTCCCATATCGCAGAAACAATTCCTCATGCCCGTACGACTCTCTCTCCGGTGAAAAATTCCAACCCCTAAATAAAAGCAATTTCTTTTTTTGACAGAAAAACATCGGGAAATTTTGCAAATAGAGGCCCAATTTCTTTGCAATCCCAAAAATTCGGTTTTTTATCTCTGAAAAATTTGATTCCAGAATTTAAGGGTGAATTTTTCTTCTTCCTAAAACGACTTTCTTGGATTTGAAATCTCTTTTAAATTTCCTGGTACCTTTTTATGCTTTTTGCTTTCCTGTGACTTTGCTTAGAAAATTAATTTATTTAATTCAAGCATCTCACTTCAACTTTCTCAATTAGGCAGCAGCTTTTCCATTATCCCTAATTAGAATTTTAGAGGAAACCCTTCCACACTTTCCCCATTCAGTACTCAAAGCTGGTGAAATTTTGATTGTTTTGCACCTTCCAAGAAATTGATTCAAATTTTTCAGTCGATTGCCGGCACCATTTTCAGAAATTTCTCGCTTCGACCTCAAATGTAATATAGATGATTTACGTCACTCTCTAATAATTCTTCCCCGAAACGAGCCGTCGACGGCCAGCCACGCGTTATTTTCCTTTTCTTTCCTCCATTGGAAGTTTGAGCAAAAGGGGCCTGCTCACTAAATAATACGAAATAATTGTGCCGGCCAGCAGCCGCCCGCCGTCGCTCGCCCACCCTCTTCTTGCCAGCGCAGATATTGTATATCTGCTTCTTTTCTTTCTCTTTGTCCCCGCCACCCTCGCCTCCCCACACCGACGAATGGAACTGACCGTGTTTTTCGAAATCCACGTTTTCTCCGAATTTACGACTCATAATACGGCGAAATATCCAAAGAGAGAGCAAGCAAGTTTGAGAGAGAGAGAGCGAGAGGGTGCCTGCCAGAAGGGGTTGCACGGCAAACAAAGGGCGAAACTCTCACCCCCCGGCTAGAAAGCCGCTCCGATATATGTGTGTGCACTTTGCGCCAAAGTCAATTACTCCCGCGTCTTATTCTTGTCTTTTTAATTTGCCCGCCGAAAATGTCCGGCGGATAGATGGATCTCTCTCTTTTCTTTCTCTCTCATTTCCACGCTATTTTTCATCCCTCTGATGAGTCATTTCGCCATCGCCGGCGCGCCCCGACGCGACCGGGGGTGCTTATTTTCTCATCGGCAGCTGCATTTCTGCAAATTTTTCGACCACCCTCCCACTCGTCAAAAGGGGCCAAATGTGATCTCACATGTAAAATTTAATATTTCCTCGGCGCTTAATTAATATGCGAAATTATAATGAAAGTGAAGATTAAGCCCGGATAAAAACGTTCATTAAAATCTATACTGACAGGAAAAACTCCCCCCGGAAATGGTCTAACTTTTAAACGGGACCGTTTTTATAAGACCGCGCGCATCTCTAGTCTGTTGTATTATGATCTCTAAATATTTGACGCCAAAATTGTCCAGTTGAACATTCCTGATTAAATTTTTGTTATTAAGCAATTAAAACGTGAAAACTCTATTCTAGTGGTGACATCTAATCCTTTTGTTTTATATTTAGTTTTTATTTTCCCTCGACGTTTCAAGAGCAGGGTAAATTTTCCAAAAAGGCACAAACAAACGTAAATTAAGAAGTTCAAAACTATTGATCTCAAAATTTCTTTCTAATCGCAGAAGCTGTAAATAAAAAAAAAATCCCTGCATTTTTTGTTAGGATTTATTAATTAATTTATTTTTTTCTTAGATTTAGGTACATTCCTTAATTCTGGTCACAAAATGTGTACATTATTATTTGTTCTCTCGTCAAAAATCCAACGCAAGAAGTCAAAATAATTATATACGAAACTGTCCAGCAGTACTATTAATTAATTAATTACTTTGGAACAATGTTTAGTATAAAATCTGTGTGCGCTTAGCGTGTGAATGGCGATTGTGAGAGCGATTGAGTGCGTGGAACAAAAATTAATTTTAAGACACGAACACAGCCCTCCGCGTATACTAATTAAAGAACTAAAAAGTAAAAAAATAAACGACACGGTACACGAAATTTAATGGTGAAAGAAAATTTGAACGGAATTAGGTGCAGATACGATTAAAGGTCCTCTCTCGGCCGAGCTATTAAGTTTTCAAATTAGAGAAATTTGGAATTTTAAATATAGAAATCACGGTTTGTCTTTTTCAGAAATACACACGCAATGTATAGAAGGGAAAAATTTAGTTTTAGCGGCAGCAGAAAATCAAACAACTGTTAAAAATTATACTGCATCGATCGGTTGATTGTGAGTTTTGCAAGGGCCTGTCTGTCATACTCGAGCTCGCTGATTACAGGTGTATTGATTGCGCGATAGAATAATATTGACTATGTATTTGTACAGAACCGTTTGTTGTTTGCCTGTAATTACACCTGGAAGCGATTTATCCTCTCGGAAGCTCGGATTTGGCCCTGAGATATAATTTAAAACCTAGTAGATTTAGGTGTAGCGAATAATTTAGGTTAAAAAGAATAGGAAAATGTATAAACTTTTTCGGATTCGGCCCTTTTAACTTTCCATTGCGTCTTAAAATTACTTAGTAAGGGTTAATTTGTGTCAAGTGCCACAGTTAAAAAGGGCCAGTTGATTGAAGGACGCTTCGAGAGGACCTTTAATTCGAGCGGAAACGAAAGTCAAAAATAATTAACAGTTGCATTCAGGAATGATTAGGGAAAAAATTACCGAGTTTGTCGACGATTGAAAGCTGAGAGAAACAAAAAAAGGTGGAATTTTTACCTTTATAAAGAGGATATAAATTATATTGGGCAGAGTTTAATGTTGTCATGCGGCGTATACTTAAAATTAATTAATTATTTATAATGTCCATGTTGTGTGTCTAACCGAGCAGAAAAAATTACTGATAAATTTAATGACAGTTTCAAACCATGAAAAACGGAACAAAAATTTAAAATGTGTACGTGCTGCTGCTGGAGAAAATCTACCCTCTAATATGGAGATAAAAAATTGTACTATTAATATTATATATTACACGGAAAGGGACGAATTGAGAAGAAATGCTGCAGGTCCATGTTGCATCTCGATGTGTAATAATATACCTTATACACGAAAAAACACACTCACACATACACACACGATGTTCACACTAGTCACCAAAGGGACGAACTTAAGCATTGTTGAATATATAAGAAAAGGTTGGTGGACACACAAGGAAATGAATGATCCCCAATTCAATTTAAAATTGAGTTGCCTCAGCAGCCAAAAATACTTGAACATACACATATAGTTTTCTACTTATGGGTTTAATCTCCACAGAATGAACAGAATTAATAAAAATAATTGACGACGACGATGATGATGATGATGAAATAAAAATATAGCCCTTATATATCTTTTGTGTACTAGAGACGTGTTTACAAAAATAAAAAAGGAATAAATATATATTATTGTAGTATTGATATAAATTTCTTTGTTTTTATTACAACTCTTTCCCTTTCTAGTTTCTATGTATATCGAAAATAATTTAATGAATTTGATATTGATTTTATTTTGTGACTCATTTTATTCAAAATTCTGTTTGCCAGGAACAAAAGAAAAAAATATAAGGCAGCAGATCTGTCAGAATTGTCAGAAAATAAAGGAGTCGTGAAGATTCGAAATTAAATTTTAAAAAATAATTTGATACGTGGAAGACAAAGACCATCAGAAAATGTACAACTTGCATTTGAAATTTTTTAATTTTATTGTTGACAACTTGACATTAAGCGATGTAATTATTAACGTAATCAAAATATTATTTAATAATTCTGATTTATTTCAATTTTACACTAATTTAATTAAGTTATTTGATTTTAGTTCAAGGAGCACAATATTAATTATCAAGAATCTTCCAGAAAAGAAATGCAGTTTATTCTTGAAAATAATTTGATCAAAAAGAGCAATGGAAATAAATTATATTAAATAAAACATTTTAATTTAAAAATTTAATATAATATTGAATTTTTATTTAAAAAATAGAAGCTACAATTTAGACTTTTGGTAATTTTTGAAGGAAATTTTCAACTAAAACAGCAATAATTTCTAACTGCAACGAAATGAGCACGGCTGCGGAAGGGAAAAGTCAATCAACGCAGAGCTCGGTCTCGTGTGAATCATTGCGAGCAGCATTCGGCCAAATTCCTCCTTTAAAATTCGGTGCATTCGTAGAGCAAGAACTGCCATTAAGCTCCGACAAAGCAGAGCCAGGCGAGCGAAAATCGATAAAATAGACCAGCAGGCCCCTGAGCACTTATGCAGCGTGGCACACACACCGCAGCCGGAAAAGAAAAACAGCAGCGAATCTGGGCCGGCGTTGGCGCCGCAAACAAAAGACGATCGCCGCGCGCAACCGCCTGTTTACCCAACAAATGGGGGCGTAAACGGGCAGAGGAAGGAAGGAAAAACGACACACAGCTTTCAGGTCGTTCGGCTCTCAGGGCTGCCCTTCGCAGGACGAAATGGCGTGCAGGGCCACCGGCCTGAGGGCCATCGAACTCTTCAGGACGGACGACTTTTACATTCTGCAGTCGGGCGAGCACAGCCTCTGGTGGGACAGGAACACGGCCCTCTGCACTCCCAAATCAGGTCCGTTTCCTCCTCAGGGTACCACTTTCTCTCATGCATCCGTCTAGTTTTTAATCTATTCTAGTTTTTTCCAAAAAAAAGTAAATTTTATGTGATGTGATTTTGTTTTAAGTCAATTATTTGCGAAGTTTGGAGTTTTATGTCGTCATTAGCTCTCATGAATCATGCATCGATAATTTTATTGTTCTTCCTCTGTCGTCTCTCGTTAATGGACCCTTTGTGCATAATGCAACACATCGCTAGCGCCGAGCGTGCTTCCTATGACCCACTTTTCCACATGATGCTGGGGAATTTCACATCACTAACCGGATAAAAAGACAAAATATGAACCACAGCCATATATTTATTTCACAAAAATTGTTTTAAAGTTTCAATAATTTTTATTGTTTTGCATTAATATTTTAGATTTAAAAAAAAACTGGTTTAATAAAATTCAAATAAACCATAAAAGAGAATACGATTTTTAAACAATAAATGAAAATCAATTTGTTTTCTATTTGAATTTTTATTTCTTATTTATTTTAAATGAAAAATTTTCCAGCGTTTTTTGAAAGATTTTTTTTATTAGGAATTGGTGATTCATTAATTATAATTTTTTATCATTACTACAGGTTGGGATTTGGTCGACGCAGTGAATCCCGAGTGCCTCGGAATCTTCTTCGGTCTGGTCGGAAAAATTGAATTGAATCCAGGCCTGCTGCCCAGACTGATCCTCATCAAGTCTGTCGAAAGTGTTGGGCAACTGCCGGGAATGCACACAGTGTACAAAATCAAGGCCGTGGCATTCCTCAACATCCTGGGTCCGGACGTAACTCAGCAGGTCTGAAAGTCAAAAACGAAATTAAAATATATAATTCACATTAATTATATATTGCGTTAAAAACATTTAAATAAATTTTTATTTTTATACATGTTCAATTATTTTCTTTATTTTACTTTTTATTAATTTACTTTACGGTTAAAAATTGATAAGTATTTTATTTTTATAAACAAATTTGTGTTATTTGAAAATAAATTTACATTATATCTTAATTCAAGACTTGCTTTATTGATTTCTATTTTTTCTTTTCGTTTATTGGTTTTATTAAAACTGTTTTCAATTTTAGGAGCTGGGTTTGGAGTCGTGCACGAAGCACTGCAACCGACGCCAGGGTGAGAGGTGTGTCCTAGAGCAGCCCGCAAAGACCAGTCTGGCCAAAACGTGGAGCTCCATCAAGTCCGCTTCGAACACCATCAAGAACACCACAGTGCAAGCAGCGCAACTCGCAGCCTCCCAAGTACTAGACATAAAAATTTGTTGTTTTAAAATATTTAAAAATTATTTAATAGGTCAAGCCTCTGAGGAAACGGGACAACAGGAGTGAAAATGAGAAGTTTGAGAGGCGGATGCTGGACGAGTTGTCCAAGATTTGGGACGACTCGCAGAGTTTCTACTTCTCGCCGAGTGGTGATTTGACCAACAGCCAGCAGAGGCAGTGGATCATCGAGCAAAAGGAGGTGATCACCCTGAAGGAGCAGCCAGAGTACAAACCGCCACCGCTCTGGAAGAAACTGGACCAACGGTTCTTCTGGAACCAGCACATGCTCAAAGAAATCATCAACCACGATGTAAGGAGTCTACTAATTTTCATTTTATAATTTAAATATTGCTTCTGTAAAAAAAAGAAATGAAAAAAATCATTGCTACTGGATTTGAAATGGATAGTATTTGCAATTGTTAATATTTTTAGAAAATTTAAAAATCAAATAATGTGGGGGTTGAGAATTTATATTTCCAAAATTTTATGTAATTCAGATGAAAATGATAATGGTTTTCATGCGGGGGTGTGGTTTTTGCTAGATTCAACTCACTTTTGAAGCCCTTTTAATTAATATCATTTTTTTTTTTTTTTCTTAAACAACTACAAACTATTTTTACTTAAGACCTAAATCATATTAATCAATTATTGATTTCCCAAAGAAAAGTAAAAAAATCTTTGTTTGATTCGGTTTGATTTATATTTCGATCATTTTTTTAATTTTTATATCTAACTATAACAGCTCAAAATTTAATTTAAACAAACTTTTGCAGAGTGAGATGGCAAATTTCTGGATTCTGCCTGTTATCCAAGGCTTCGTGCAAGTCGAAAAGTGCAAAGTTGATCTCGGGAGGTTTGACCGGACCAGAGAGGCCATGGAGCCTGTTTTTGAGGTGCCAATCCAACATTTTTAAACATTCCTTATTTTTTCTAAATTTTTCCATTTTTCAGACTTTTGTGTTGACCGTGATCTCGCGTCGAAGTCGATTTCGAGCTGGCACTCGATACAACCGGCGCGGAGTGGACGAGGAGGGCAAAGTGGCTAATTACGTCGAGACGGAGCAAATCATCAGCTATTTGGACCACCAAGTGTCTTTTGTGCAGGTCAGGGGCTCGGTGCCTGTTTACTGGAGTCAGCCTGGTATCAAATACCGGCCTCCGCCCAGAATCGACAAAGGTAAAACTTGTAAAATGAAAATTTAAAATAACTCATTTTTGAATAATTCAGGCCCTGCTGAAACTAGAGAGGCATTTGAGAAGCATTTCAATGAGGAATTGGCCACCTATGGGCACATTTGCATCATCAACCTTGTAGAGCAAACGGGCCGAGAGAAAATTATAGCTGACACGTACACTGAAAATGTCTGTGACTTCAGCTGTCCTGATCTCACATACTGCCTTTTCGACTTCCACGAATATTGGTTTGTTTCGATTTGTCAAAAATCTACAATTAATTTAATTATTATTTTGTATTTGTTTTCCAGCCGTGGAATGCATTTTGAAAATGTGTCGATTTTGCTTTCGCACCTTTTGGACGTGATTAACGAGCAAAAGTTCTGCTGGTTGGACAAGCAGGGCCGCATCTGCCTCCAGTTTGGTGTTTTCCGAGTCAATTGCATTGACTGCCTTGACCGCACCAATGTCGTTCAAGTACTTATTTGTTATTCATAATATAAGAAAAAACTGAATTTTCTTTAATTACAGACTGCCATTGCCAAAACTGTCATGGAAATTGTGTTCACTAAACTGGGGTTGATAGCTCCTGAAAAACCAGTGCCGGCGAACATAAGGAATGCATTCCAAGTTCTGTGGGCCAACAACGGTGATGCAATTAGTAGGCAATATGCAGGGACAAATGCTCTCAAGGTATTATTATTTATAATAAAATTTCAATTATTTAAAATATTCGAATATTTTTCATCAAATTAAAGTCTACTCCAGGATTTTTCAGTTTATATCGATTATTATGGTTTTTTGTGATATCAAATGTTCTAGAACTTTTTTAAGATTTCATGTTGAGGAAAATACCAGGAATTAATTATACTTTCAATTAATAAAATTTTTCAATATCATGAATAAAAATGTTTTTTCTATAATTATAATAATAAAATTAATTATTTAAAATATTTAAATATTTTTACATTAATTTAATGTCGACTCCAAGATTTTTTAGTTTTTGATTGATCATCATGTCTATTTTTCAAATAAAAGGTTTTTTGTGACTTAAAATCTAACCAGAATTTTTGAAATATCTGAAATTTCTTTCTTTATTACTGAAATTATTTAATCCTTAATTAATTTTAGGGTGATTACACTCGTACTGGGGAACGGAAATTTTCGGGTTTAATGAAGGACAGCGTGAATTCCGCGAGTCGATACTACCTAGGTCGATTCAGAGACGCTGAGAGACAGGCAGCCATTGACCTCATGCTTGGTGAGATTTCAAGCAGTAAATATACACAGTTTTTTTTACCATCTGTTCTTCTTTCACCCTTTGTTGTGCCACACCATTTAACTTCCCGACTCCACACAATGCTGATCAAAAGCCCACTTTCAGGCAATCCCATTCCCGAGGAGATCTTCAGCGGAGGCGACCCATCGTTTACCGAAGACATTACGGCCTCTGCCGAGCAAGTGAAGCACGTAATTGAGGACAGCAAAAAGCTGCTCCTGCCTGACCCCGCTGAATGTGTCGGTGCTTGGGGCCTCATTGATGCAGACCAGGGCACTGGAAATCCGAACGAAACTGACATGGACATTATTTTGTTGCTCACAAGTCAGTTTTATTGTGTGGCTTGGTAAGAGATCTTGAAATAATTTGTTGAAAGATTTATAAATAAATATATTTTAAGGTATGATGAAGAAGCTGATCGAGTGAGCCACTACCAATATGTGCCTCTCGAGGACATAACTCACATCGAGATTGGTCAATGTCAACTTTCTACTAACTCGTTGTTTAAAACGTCCAAGTCTCCCAGTTTCTGCATCAGGATTTATTACCAACAGAGAAATGACGACGGAGAAATGGAGCCTGGCTTCTTCCATATTTTCCGATCAGCCAATCTGCGTTTCTTCAACAACTTGGCCGTTGCCATAACCTCGGAGGAAGAGGCTATTGGTGAGAAATAAAATCTGAAATATTCCAAGTGTTTAATGAAAATTTCTAGAATCGATCAAGTACATTTGCGAAACATTTTTGGGACTGAAAAATGAGCTGCAAGTGGAACGGGTGTCTCGTCTCGAAAGAAAAAAGTCAAAAATTCCAAGGGAAATAAGAGGGCATCAACCGTCCAGCAGCTTTCTAAATCTTCCTGCACACATTCCTAGAAATTTTTCAGACAAGTCATTGTCAAAGGGTTTGTCATTATTTTTATTAATTTAATACAAAACTGAATTATTTTCATTTAGTTTCTAACACTATGGGCCTGCTCAAGAATGAAATGTCTGAAAAGTTCAGCAAAATCACTAGCATTGGCAGCAAAAAACAAGAGGAGAAAGTCGAGATGACCACAAATAATAAGCCAAAGGTAATAATTTGTTTAAGCTTGATTCAAATATAAGTTTTTCCATCCGCAGCCAATCTTTGTTGTTGGGTCTTTGGAATGCGAGGAAACCAGCTTCAGTGCGGAAGGCAGTTTTGATCTGCCAGACCTTCCGAAAGCCTCCCTTCGACACCCAGACTGTGACCAAATGTCCTTGGCTGCGGGAATTCTAATGGGCTGCAGGAAAGGACCTCCAGTTTCTCCAAGGGTTCCACCCCAGAACTCCTGGTTGCAGCCTCCGTCTGGGAAGGTCCTCAAACACTCCAGGAGCGACCTGAGCCTGTCAGACTCGAGCCGCAGCCCAAGGAAGACACCTGAGATCATGGTCCAGGCACCAGAAGGCCATTTCGAAAGAACTCCTCCGAAAAAGGAGAACATGAGGATCAATATCAGGAATACATTGTCGGAGAGAGACCTGAGCCTCAACCTGAGCAGCTCCCAGAGCGAAAGTGCCCTCAGGTCCAATAGAGGCTTTGGATCAGTTCTCAGCAGCCCTTCTAGCATGAAGGACAATGCCTTTTTGAGGTATTTTTTTTTTAATTGGCTAATTATGAGATTTTTTTAAACAAACTAAAATTTTTATAGGTTTTCGAAGGGCTTGCAAACTTTCAGCGCAAATCTGGACCCTCGGAAGCTTGCAAAGCTGAACAGTCCTCTGCAAGGTCCACAACAAGTCGATCCGGAATCTCTCAAGGTCTTGCAAGATAAGTTCAAGGGCTGCAAGACCAGGCTGGTTGCCATTTAAATAACAGCCGAGCATTTATTTATCTTGCATTTTGCGCAGATATGTGAAATTTTTGATAATTGAATTTGCTGTGCTCTGCTTCTAAAATATTTCACGGCCCTAAATGAATTTTAAGCAGAATGTTTACAGTATTCTAGTCACTGATCTTGCTAACCACTTATAATCTCAAAACATCGTGTAAGCGGAAAAAAGTTTTGAAATATTGACAGCTTTTGCATTATATTCAGGCCCATATCTGCGCAATCTTAAAGCATCAAAAGTGATCAACACAACTTAATTTTATTGTATTAAGTGTCAGTATTTTGTGTTTCTTTTCTTACCGGTAAATATGTGATTCGTATATTTATTTTTTACCAGCTCGTGTAATTTTTACTCTACAAAATTTCATTCGCCGTGTTCATGATCTAGTTCAAAAATTTCTCCGAGAGAGGACCATAGTGAGCGTTTTTGCAATAACAGCAGATCATTCTGATTCTAAAGTATTTGTTTAATGTCATTGTTGAATCGTACCAGCACTTGTTGTTGATTTTTGCCTTTCAGGAACATTATCCACAGTGGTATTAAGGAGTGTAGTTCGATTTCACTCACTGATGTTTGTGCAAATTCCATTAGCTGATAGGCGTAGTATTGAAATTTTAGTAGTGAGTTAACGCAACGAGTCAATTATATATCAAGTAGGAAAATTATCTGTGTGAACTATAAAATATATAAATATGGTATTATATCAAGTATAAAACTCGAAGGAGGGGAAAAATTTAATTAGCCTCATTTTTTGTAAGTTACAAATTCGAAATATCAACTTATGAGCTTTCATATTTGTTAAAAAAATTAATTTTTTGCACTTATTGAGAAAAATTTGCATTGGGGGGTTTTTTTTTCTTGAAAAGGAAGTTCCTTTACTCACTACTCTAACCAATGTTGTTAAGTAATTTTTCCATTTTTAACGTAGCTCTCCATACCAAAGACTATAATTCGTCCGAGCAGAGCATTTAAACTAATTCCACGAAGAATTAATACCAATTAGCCGTAACTGAAATGAGCATGAAAAGTATTGATTATTTTGTGATGAGTAATTTAGTAATAAATCGTAAATTGTATTATATCATGTTGTAACTCCCGCGAAACGTGCAAAATCCAGCTCCTGTTACGTCACAACCTGTATCACTGCTGTGAATAATAAAGTGAATTTATTAAAATTACATTCCTGTGACCTCTGATGCTGTCATTTCAAAACCCATCGAAATCGAACATGCTAAAATGTGATTTAGTTATCTGTTATTTTTAAAATTAAACTTTCTAAATGGTGCACACATGTTGGCCAATGAAATTTAAGAAAATATACAAGATGCTTCATGTTTTTGCTTTATTGTTCATCTCGTCTTTCTATATCACAATCAAAGGGACTCGGGCTATATCAAGAGTTAAAATATGTAATATATATTCTCATTTAGAAAAGCTTCAGCAAATAATGAAGAATGTTAGCAATATCAAAATCTGCAAGGAACCGAGAATATATTTTTATCATGAGTAGCCAAACAAAAATGCGCGGCAACAATAAAAAAATGCTTTTTATTCAATACGACTCGCGTTAAAAATAATAAAGTCTTAAAAATAATATAAATGGAGATATTTTTGTTCAATGGTTTTTAACATGAATCTCGTAAAAATGGCTGCTAAAGTGAAACAATACTGACACCCTAATCTTCAGGACTTGTCTACCTATCAAAGTAAAAAAACCCAAGATCATTGAAAGGTACAGAGAGAGGTGAGCACTGAAGGGTTCAGTTTGAAAATAATAATTCCGAATTTAAAACAAAAACTGCGCCTGGTTTATTGATAATATTTTCGTCATTTTTCAATTCCACTCACTTGTGTATCCCTCCAGTGCCACTTACAGCAATCATATACTTAATAATTAACCATTGAATACATGCACGTTGACATGTATGTAGATATTCGTGTGGACACAAAATACACCGACAGGCCAAGTAATATTTTTCACCTCCAATTGTTGGAAACACCGAACATCGCATCAACAACAGCAAAACTCCTTGGGTTCTGCGAGCGCAGAGAATTCTTAATTTTCCTTTTTTTCTTAATAAACTCGCGAGAACGCCGTTCGCGTCCTAATTAATTTCCACTTATTGCTAACAGCTTTTGTCTCTCCTTTTATCGTCAACAAAAACATTTTTAATTGTTTCCAAGGCTTAAATAAAATGAGTTGCAGTAGGAAAAGTAAAGCTCCGAGAAGAACGAACACAATAATGAAGATAAAATATCCTCTATGGCGAGCTCTTGACTAGTGATAAAAATAGGCTTGCCGATTTTTCAAATATAGAATAAGCATTTTTGCGGCTGCAGACATCTTTTATAACTGGAGATAAATTTGCAAAGAAGACCCTTCGTTGAGCAAAAAAATCTTCCAAGTTAGATATTATTTTGGTGCATTAAAGATAGGCAACCGGATTCACATTAATGTCCAGCAGGTTGCATACTTCAAACATTTCCAGTTAACTTTAAAATGCTCCCATTTTTTGCTACCGGAAGGGTCTTAATTTAAACTCGCAACCAAAGTCTTGATGAGTGTGTTACACAGTTAACGTCCCTACGAGAAAATTGTCTACATAAAACTGCAGTTTTGCGCAACTAGGTGATTTGTGAGTATCTGCTCATGCGCCCTCAACTATAATTATGAACCACGTAAAACTCAACACATACTTTCGTCAAACAATTATTAACATTAGTGAGAGTAAACATGTGAGTTTGTTTGCCCATAAAATCACACTCATGATAAAATACACCTAGGTTTGTACGCAAAGAGATTGAGCGAATATGAAAAATAAAACCCTCTGAGAATCGGCTTGATTTTTTTCTTTCTTAAATAACTTTTCTTTTGTTCAATTGTGTGTGTATGTGTGAATATAGAGAGATAGAGACTTCAATACTCTGTTTTGGTATACTATGTGACCCACACGGGTACTGGTTTCACCAACAACAATCAATATTTAATTATACAATTAATATTTAATCAATCAATCAGTAACGTTTTAAAGAGCTGCAAAACCCAAGACAGAAATTATCAATTCGATTTATATTTCAAGCTGGGGCGTTGCAGACCTTTAAGTAAATGTTGCACATTTTTTGTGAAGTTTATGTTTTTTTGTGTGATTCATATAATTTTTTGCTTTTTACAACGTCGTTTATTTTCTTCTTTTTTTTCATCAATTAACACCTAAAAACGCGCGCGCTCCTTTCGGTCCGTCACTCTATCATTCGAGCCAACATTCTCACCGACAGTGCGTTTGGCAACAGTAGCAGCATCATTCACTCGTCTCTCGAAGAAGTCAGTCGCTTGATTTTTGATTGGTCAAAGGAAGGTGGTGGGCGTGGCCGAGGGCCGCTGGCAGCACGGAAACACCCAGAGGATCGTGTTGCGGAAGGCCTCGCGGAACTCGCGGTTGAAGTACGCGTAAATGAGCGGATTGAGCGCCGAGTTGAAGTAGCCTACCCAGAAGACCATGTCCACGACCACGGGCGGACACGGACACGCGTCCCCGCACAGGTTGGTGATGTCGTACCACAGGAAGAAGGGCAGCCAGCACAGGATGAAGGCGCCCATGATGATGCCCAGCGTGCGTGCAGCCTTGTGCTCTTTTTTCCAGCTCGTCTGGCTCTTCTCTTTGGCGGCACCTGTCAACAACCAAAAGTTACAAAAATTAATACATTCTGACCATTTCAAACAAGAATATCTGTTTATGTATAAAAAAAATCCTGAGAATTGAAATGATTCCGTTAAAATTAAAAAAAAAAATCTGACATTTTCAAAAACTCCCATCCAAATTTCAAATAAATTTTCTTCTTCTGTATGTTTAAGTGAGCTCAAAATTTAATTGAAACTTTGAACACCATCAAAAATTTGGATCAAATGAGAGCAAATTTCGGAAATTGTAATTTAAATGTTAAAAAATTCCACAATTTTTGTAATTTTTTAACCACTGTTATTTAAAATATCAGCCGTTTTTAAATCTCCCAACAATTTATTATCAATTTTAGCGGAATTGTACTTCATTTTTGTTTTAAATGATCCAAAATTCATTTCAATTGACACTTTTTTAATTCTTTAACGTCTAAATTTTATCAGTTTTAATAATTTTTCCCTCCTCTTTTTAACTTATTTAGTTCAACGTCCTCAAGCAGTTCTTGAAACTACCCTCTTTGTTCGCCTCGCTTCTGTGCTAATATGACCATAGGACGCCCTTGGGACTCAATAAATTCCAATTGCGCCTGTGGAATTCAGCCTTATGCAACCGGCGTGACGCGGGTGCCCGACAAATTGCATACTCTCGCCCGAGCAGGCGGTTAGAGACTGCCGGCGAAACCGCGGGGGCCGAGTGAGAGAGAACGCGCGTCCGCTCTCTCTCTCCGATTTCTAATTCGACAAACAACACGAGAGACCCTCGTTGTTGCGGTTGCAATACACCTGCGGTGATGACTTGCTATTACTCGCTGGCTGCACAACAACGGTCCGCCTGGGATGCAAACAATAGCTCTATTTGCTTCCTCTCTGGTTCCATTCGCTATTCATAGATTTGTATGCTCGGTAATGTATAATTGTTATTTGCGAAGAGTTCCTGGAACTTATGCAGATGGAAGAACATAATAGAAGCGAATTGCTGCGACGAATAAATAGATCAGTTTGAAAAAAAGTTAAAAAGCATATTCGTCATTGTTTATTTTTTATTGTTGTTGTTGTTTCAAAAATGCATCACAATTTCATTGGATAAAAATTAGGTTAATTGCGTTTTTTCAGGCGGTTTTTTAAATAAAAAAGCATAACAAACTTTCTCTGTTGAATTTTTCAAAGATAAGCCAATTTTTTAGTTTGAAGAAGTTGACACTCGAGGAGATGATCATGGAAATGAAGCGATCGGGCTTTTCCTCGTTGCAGAAAATTGTATTAGTCAGCGAGCAGCGCGTTTGCTCATGAAATAGGGTCGCAGACCGTGACCGAAACTGGTAGAGCCATTTGTTTTTGAATAAAAACAATTTTCTGCAACGAGGAAAAGCTCGATCGCTTCATTTCTATTTTTTTAGTACTTCGCATTTATTTTCCATGTCATTGAAGTAAAACAAAATTCAGACCAAAGCTGAAGCTCAGTTTCAAAATTGTAAGGAAAAAAAATAAACACTGCGTCAAGATTTTTTTAAATTTGATCCAAGGATTGCAATTTGCAATTATAAAGCAATTCTTATTTCTGATGCTTGTAAATCCACGTCACGTTCTGTCACTCTATGGCTACCCCTGTTTGACAGATGGTTAAATTTCAAGGTTCTGCGTGTATGAAAGCTCATTACTGCATTTATAAAATATTTGAAGCCCCTTATGTTTATCACCCTCAATTAAATAATATTTTTGTGTTTTTTTATACGTTTAATTTCGTCATAAAAAAGGATAATGTCACAGATTGTTTTCACATTGTTCAAAAGTGTAGATACAGTTTATTTAAATTACTGAAAATTATAGCTCGAAACTACTAAAACGAAAAATAAATTAGGGAAAAAGTTAAATAAAAATTCAATACTTTTAAAGTCATAAAAATTTAAAACTATTTCTAGACAGTGAAATTTATAGCATAATTATTAATTTAAAGATTCAAAATTAAATCTTTTTAATATTTCAATTTAGATTTTAATACGGCGCTGCAGAGCAGTTTATTTTGCAAGCGATCAATGCAGTTTCAATTTACCAGAGCTTTGATGTGGTTTGAAATGCTGAGCCACTCATTGGAAAACTCACTCAACGTTTCGCTCGTTAAACAGAGAGGTGTGCAATACCATAAATAGTAATTGCGAATTAGCACGTTCGAAAGCTCGGATGATTTGTGTTTGCTTTTTCCTGTTACGAGCACCGAGTGCGTCCTTGGAACATGGAAAAAATAAAGAGCGTGCTTGCAATCGACATGCACGAAAGCTTTGTTGTAAATGTCAAATCGGAGAGAGACTGGGTAATTACATCGTGCTGGCGTAATTATACAAAATTACGCAGCGGCAAACAGCATTACGGGCGCCGGTTTTTCAGTTGCCGACCTGGAAATGAGGTCATAATTATGGTGAAACTGGCCCAGGAAAAAAGCAACGAGCACGACAGGATGTAGAGGGAACCGAGGCATGAACACACATACAACTCATTTTTTTTTTATTATTATTGTTGTTTACTTTTATTTTTGACGTGTGACCGTGAGCAAGACGCATCAATAAATGGCAGTCGTGTCAAAATTGGCCAGCTATCGATAGAGAGACTCGAATAATTGAAAGAGTTGAAGACAAGCAAAGGAAAATTTTTTTGGGTAGTAAGAATTTTCATTTATTTTGTTATCAAAAGTAGGCTATATCACGGCGAAATGATCTGAAAACTGCAAGTATCAATCTTTTTCGTGTTTTTGGACTCAAGACAGTCTGAAGCATCTGTGAAACTAAGGATTCTAAGCAAAAAGAAAATAATTTCTTGTTGTGTTTCTCAGGATCCAAAGGATTCAAAGCAAAAAAATATTTTTGAGTAGTTAAATTTTGTATGAAATATAAGGCAATATTCTAAAATAAAATCACTTTCGAATTTAAAACGAAAATTGGTTTAATATTATTTTATTTTCACGTATAAAATTATCTTGCCCCAAGTACAAGTGTACGGCCTTTCATTTTGAGTAAACCTCAAAGCTGTATAAGCAATTCACAGCGGCCAGGGATGTGTTTTAAACATTTTTTATATTACGCTATTTTCATTATTTTTTCCTTTATTAATTTATTTTATTATATTTGAAGATAAAGAATTTTTCACAGAAGAGTGAAGAAAAATATGCGTTTGAAATCAGTATTTGAAGTGAAAATTTCATCAATAATTATTCTATAACTTGTGCTCAATAAGTGACCTTATATTATTTGTAATCCTCAGAAGATCTCATGATGTAATTTTTTCCCCTGTCTAGAAAATAAATACATAAAAAGTTTGCAACAAGTAAATGGTTTTTATTTGAAACAACTGATTTGCTAGCTAAGAAAAACGCCACGGAGAAAATTTTATCCTGCCGGTTGGGACAAACTAATTTCCTCCCGCCCGAAAGTGCTTGATTGCAAAAGCTGAGGATGTTCCAAAAAATTGCAATTATTCCATTACGAAAATGGACTCTGCTGTGCCAAATATTCTCGATTTCTGCGTTTTAGGGTTTTGCAATGGCCCAGCGTGAGTGCAGACGGTACAGATGATGCACCTGCTCTCTTACTCTGCTACAAGTTGGTATCGGCGTATCGATCTCAGTCAGCAGAAGAGCAGAGAATTTTACGGGGCGGCTGGAAAAGAGGGAGCGGCGTGAGAGAGCACCGAGGTAATTACACACCCGAGTGTTGACTCGGAGCAAATAGCAATCAGCAGGGGCACTAACTCGTCGCGTCGCGCACACACACAGGAATAACCTACATGCCAATTGACGCCGAAAACGAGCGAATTTGTAAACGCCGCCGACAGCTTTGTTATTTTTCCGTTTTTTTTTTTTATTTACCCATTCGAGAGGCGGGTCGGAGAATTTAAATAAAAGTCAACAGAGAGGGGGCAATGGACCTGTTTTTTGCAACTTTGGAAGTTTTTTACGCGTCCAACCGCAAACCTCAGCACCGAAGGAGCAACTTTGGGGCATTCTTTTGCCCGCATCAAACGTGATGCGGTCGGACCACAAGCATATCACAGTTTCGCCCTGGCTTTTGCTTGGCACCGACGAGAATTTTCCCTTGATTCAGAGCGCGCGCGGTAAATTTGCGTGCACATTATATTATTATTTAGAGTTTGCATAGCCGCTCTTTCGAGTAGTGCAAACCACACGGCGCCACGCTAGAATAGGAAAATGTGGTCAGGTTTCTCTTTGAGAATTGAAAAATTAGATTTAGAAAAATTTAAAAGAAAAAAAAAAACGATACCTCAGGTAAAGAAGAGAGTTCAGAAATTAATTAATTCAATTTACATCAAATAATTTTGGCATAAAATTTTTTAATTTGTATGATTTGAAGACCAAAAGTTTTTTAAAGTTAAAAATAGAACAAATTTAACATTTAACAGTTAAAAATATCGATATTTTACCTTTTTTAACATTTTTAAGATTATTTAAATTTATTCAATTTAAATTGATAAACAATTCATTATTTTTCTGTATAGGTTCTTGAAGATGTTGTTGTGGAACCTTTTGGCACTTGAGGTGGTCATATTATTTGTTGAAATAAAATCCGGCTTCCTCAGTGGAGAAAAATATTGTAATTTAATTTTAAAAATTTTTTGAATATAATTTGCATGTTAATTTTTCAAAATGTAATTAAAATTGGTTAAATGTCAGCTTATTTCATTTCAACAGCTCATGAATTAGGGTTGCAACCCGCAACCGAAACTAGTAGAGCAGGGATTTTCTGTACCATGCAGAAACAATAAAGTTGCTCATCTCCACCGAGGAAGCCGGATTTTATTTCAACAAATTCATTATTTTTTTTACTGTTGTGAACCTACAAACGTTTCGTCCTCCATTTCAAGTTTTCCTCCCAAAAATCAATTATTTTTCAGTATATGAAACTTTTGTTATCTGTTATCATTGGAAAAATAGACAATAATAATAATTCAATAATATACTATCAAAACCTTTTTTGTTACATAATGC